TTCTAGACCACGCAATATACTAGCAGTGGAAGCTCGTAGCCACGGAGCTACACTGAAGAACTCGTTCACACAGATGTGCAAGGAACCAGCTCGGTATTCGTGAGACGACGGTACAGATGGTGGTGGTAAACTAAAGAGACGTGACATGGCAATCCCTCGTATCTATGTCACATCGGGAATAGCCGATGTAACCGGCATCCGGGTTACAAGCAGCTTCTTTCGACAACAAAACACAGCCTATTGATATCAGTACGCGCTTATCCTTTTGCGAAGGAGCATCAGCGAGGCAATCAACATACCAACTTCAAGTGACTAGTCTATTCGCGAGAGGCCTAGGCGTAGTCCACAAACTCTCTTCTTCGCATGTTTGTCTTCGTCTGGGCATCACGCAAGCGGATCACTGGATAGCAAAGAGAGAATCCAATCACACTGCGGGGAAGAACTGATCTTGCTGCCACATTAATATTAAAACACGCTAAAAGGCTGCAGCCCGCAAGATAGGTTTCGCCGCTAGACTAGACCATAAGTCTTACCATTACGACAGACTTATCTCATGTTCTCTCGGCTTTATCTATCTGCGTGAGAACTCACAATCACTCTCGAGTATCTGACTCGCAGTGCATAATGCCGTGGATCAAAACACATGCAAGTCCTCTCTTCCACTAACCAGTCATTTCGAAGAATGTACAACTTATGAAGAATCATTCATTAATCATTAATCAACCGGTATATCACAGTCCATCCATCGAGCTTCTTTCATTTTTCATTTTAACGTTCAGCAGCCCATGCGATAGAAGTTTGCATGTGGAAGTTGAGAAACACTCCACACCTCAACGTGAGAAAGTATCACACTGTTGGTCCTCTCTTCACTCTTCAGGAACATGCAAATCCATCCGCAGTAAACGTTGCGCAACGAACATATGGTACACTCGTTACTAAACCTACCACGCATCAAATCAACATCTTTTTTTTTTCTCCAGAGCAACTTAGTGGTGTGCAACACGCGTTATGTCGTGGGAGAGGCATTTCTATATTGTCCGAGCGGCTCGTGGGAAAAGGCGAGGCGGGGGATAAGTGCGCCCGAGTGCGACTCGACTCTACCATCAATCACATTAGAATCCAGACTGCGCATGCGAGCCACCGTTATTTCTCCCCTCTCTGGGTGGTATAAATCTGGTGTTTGCCGAGCGTGCGAAGGGTGTGGCAAGAGGCGGGGGGGATAAGTCCGCCCGTCCGACTCACCCATCAATCACAGTGATACAGTATTACAGGACCTAGACTGCGCAAGCATTATTTCTACGTTTGATGCGTAGAAAAGTATCTCCGAAGATTATGTTGTTGCAACTAACGTCGGGATTCGTGGCGAACATAACGGGACTTTGGTGAGAAGCAAGAGCGGTATCCCCGATAATAATACATGGCTGGACCGGATACCCCAGACGCAGCAAGAGTGTTTTATCGACGTTGATGCGTTAGAAAGTCCGTATGGTCGGCGCCCTGATTAGCAGGCTGGGTTGCATATGACGAGGCGGCTAATACACAGGGGTTAAAGCTGTGATTTATACGTATATTATGCGGACCTACGGAAACGGCCAGAGATAACACCTGCTGCAAAGCTCATCGACATCAGAAAGCCGGTTGTTGTCAAGCGGTTCGGTGGGAAAGGCGTTTGGGTGGGTGGATTGTTGTCGCGGATATAAGGTCGAAACAGCCAGGTAAGTAGAGACCATGGGTTCCTAGATGACGACACAAGGCAGTTAAAGCAATTTGACAGTATGTATCTTCGAAGAGAAAAAGCTCCCAAGTCCACGGGCTCACCTGTAAGTAGATATCACCACGACCTAGAACCTCGCCGTCACATCATGGGTTTTACCCACAATTGATGAAAAGAAGCGGAAGGCCATTCGCGGGTAATCCGAAAGCCAATTAGAATAGGACATGAGGAGAGAGAGAAGGTTGAAATTGCAACAGATTAGTAGTGGAGAGTTATGTAGTATCTTAGGGGCAAGGGCGTGGCGTGGTGGGAATTTAAATGCGCTGACGTTTTGGGAAAGACCAGGGCACGGCGGCGTTTAGGCGGAGGGTGAGGGAATTTCATACTATGACAGGTTTCATGACGCTCGCAGGAATGCAACGGTTTATTCGAACCGTTACTAATATACCACATCACACACCTTTTTGTACAATTAAACACCAACTATATAGACAGGGACCCTAAGTAGTAGTAATAACGACGAGAGGATAGTAAGAAGCTTGAGCATGTCGATGGTGAGGGTGTTGTACTTTAGACTGCAGCAACAGCAAGACAGAAGAGAGGGGAAATGGTCATATCTTACTCCACCGCTTCTATGTTATGTTTGTTGGACCAACCGCCTTTCAAGCCGCCTTTCCACGCCCGTGACCTAGACTCACATCTGCTGGTCATACGGGCCTGGGGCTGGATGGATATAGTGGCCTCTCTGCCAACACCCAGGGGAATCTCTCCGCCCGCCCTGTATGGGAGCCAACACCGGTGGGGGGGCTCTCGTACCGGTACTCCGCCTGGTCGTACACCGCAGGATAGGACGCAGGTGTCGGTGGGCCCAGAACTATTGCTCTCTGGCGAGGGAGGGGAGATATGGGATATAGAATGCCGCGAGGACGCCCCCGAAGAAGCGACCTCGTAGTACTGTGTCGGGGGAGAAGGTGTCGTGTGGACATAGGTGTACCCCGAGCCAGGCTGCTCCTGATACGTAGACGTGCCATTCCGATATGAATAATTCGTAGCGGACGTCGGGGTGGGCGGCATGGAGAGATGGGAGTAGGGCGAATCGGGAGAGGCGGGCTCGGAGGACCGGAGGGCGGCGGCGGTGGCGGGGAGCGTGGCTTGTGTGAGCGGCGGTGGGGAGTCAGGCGGGGATTGGGAGTGGTGGGCGTACAGCCTCGCAGGTTCTAGAGCAGGAGGAGGGGACACGCCGCGTTTAGCACCGCCACCCGTGGGACTGTTCATGACGCGTGAGATGACGGAGCGCGCAGAGTTGCGCCGCGAGCCCGGAGAGAGATGGATACGATAACTTTGAGCGGGGACCCGTCAGCGGGCGGTGCAAGGATTAGCTAATGCAACTCACTGCTGTTGGAGGTTGTCCTGCCTCGAACACCTCGTCTCACAGCCTGGGAACGGACACTTGTGGTTCCGCTCCCCAGTGTGGACACGCGAGTGCCGTGCGAGATGGCCGCTCGTCGTAAACGCGCGGTCGCACGTCCCGCATATGTGCTTCTTCTTAGCGCCACCAGTAGTAGTCGCAGTCGCAGTCGCTACCGTCGAAGACATTCCAGATAGTGTCAAAGTCGTCGTCTTTGTGGGTTCTGCTCGGGGCATAAGTCTGGCCCTGCTCAGAGGTGGTATTATAAGAAAAACCAGAAAGAGAGAGAGAGGTGGAAATCGAGATACAGCCTCAAAAAGGCGCGACCCGTTTATGTTTCCTCCTCCGTGTTCTCTAGTACGTAACTCTTCCAATTTGCATTTGGGTACAACCAATTCAATAAAAAATCATTTTCTCAAAAAGTCCCGGTGAACCGAACTGGTTCGTTTGGCTTCTCGAAGTGCCTCGCGACCAAGTTACCCGTAGTTTCACGTGTTGGATGGAGGGTGCTTCATTTGTTTCCCTCGTTCATTGCCGACAAACAGACATCGAATCGCAGCAATCCACCATCCGTCCATCTCTTCACCCACGTTTTCCCTCCTCACTCTTCCTTCTTTCCTTCTTTCTCTCTCCAACGTAATAGCGTCATTCAATACTCCGTCGACGACACCACCACCCACCTTCCTTGTCTCGTCCTCATATACATTTTACGACAACCCCACACACATCTATCCAAACCGAAATGTTTATTTCCCTCCACGCACGCCCAATTCCTGGCTAAACCTTTTTCGGTGGCGGACGGATTTTCAATTTTGGTATTCTGTCCTTCCTGTCGTGTCGTTTTTTTCCCATCTGCCAAAAATCCTATCGTGATCAGATCTCGATTCTCGATTATTTCTCAGGTAGCCTTTTCCAACTTTTTTTTTTTCGCTCCCTTCTCGTCTTCTTTCTAAACTTCCTCGAATGTTCTCATGTAAGTAATGTGTGCAACTCGCGGGTGCTTTGGTCTTCGTAACGGAACCCTCCGAATTCATGCTCCCCCCCTCCATCTCAATTTCCAACGCCTCCCCCTCTTCTGTCACCGGCCCCAATGGAGCCTCCCGAAATTTCGGAATATTCCTTCTTCGCACTCTAATGCGGCAAGTGGGAGCCGACGAGTTGGTATATACTCGTTGCAGTCGTCTATCATTGTTCGAATGAAAAATCCATCTCCTGCCTTACCTTATGACCGACGACGACATCAGACCCTGATCAACAAAATCTAACTGGCACTGTCAATTAGTTGGTAAGTTGTATCTGTCTGCAACATATACGAACGAGTCCAGAAGGTTCGAGAGCAAAAACCTTCAACCCGTAACGTTTTTTTTTATTCAAGCTTCGGGTGGCGCAGCAGAAGTACCTTTCTTTCGCGGCAGAAGGTCGTTGCAATCGTGGGTTCACCCTACGAAGTACTTTTACAAATTCGACGGTTCCGTTGGAAAAGATGTGGCCACGGTATCGTTTGCCTAAACTTCGAACCTTGAGATTTACGCGACTTTTGAATCTTGGAGGTAATACCTTGGAAAAACATGCCCGCTTTCCCCGGTGGGGGCGGTCCATCAAATTACGGTATTCACAACGGTGAACGGTAGCTTGTTCTCCCGTCGCATTCGTGCGCCCCATGGAGTCTACGCTCTCCTTAGCATTGGGCACGACGAACACGAACGCGAGCTTGAGGCGAACCCCGAGTCCAAAGATAAAATCCTTTCTTACGACTTGTCCAACCCGGGGCAGTGATGCGCCTCTGACTTCCGCGCTCCTTGTCAATTGCTTTCTTGCTCTCCCCCCTATGAACGATGCGATATTAATAGCGTCCTTTCACGTTTTAATTATGGCTTGTCAGAATACGTCGCTGGAGCATTGCGTGAGATTGGGACGTAAATACATGGAATGAAATTGAAACGAACTTTTTTGGGAGAGCTGCTGCTGCTCCGCGGCTGGTCAACCGCCACTGTTCACAGTTCCTCGGTTATCCAGAGTACGTATTTGAAAAGTCAAACTCCTTACCATCTGCATTGTGATGGCGCCCTCTTGGACCCGCCTCTCTGCCTTTCGGAGAATCCTGAAATTCCAATGATGTCACAGCTCTGATGTGAGTTCGACCCTCCCAACGACTGATAACCGTGGGCTCGTTCAGGCACGCGCATCATCAAATGACTATCGCATCCCTTGCCTTGAAGGAGATAAATCCAAGGGAAAGCGGAGGCTTTTAATTTTGATTTGCATGGCTTGGCTGAAGGTGAAACCTGTAATGGACCAACATTCAAGTTTCGCATGGGAGGCTAGTAAGAAAGAAAGGAAAACAATATTGACCATTGTTCGCAACGCGATGTCGACATGAGAAGAATCGCACGCTTGACGTTCCGGGGCCCATAGCACTGGCATGGAATGGACTTAAAGCTGCAATAGTAGTACATACGTCCAAGTCAATCACCGGTCCGAACATCCTGACAACGAACGTTTCACTTACCCATAATGGGCAGCTCAGACTGAATACATTGTGAGCGAACAGAACGGACGCTTTAGCCAGATCGGCGTGTACACTCCATAGCGGCAACCAAAGAAATTAAGAAGAAAATGAGCTTCGCTGGAGAGACGTGAGTGCGTCAAACAACACTCAGTAACGAAACAGTTCACCTCGAACATCTCCGAGAGAGGCGGAATTGAGGAGGTACGCAGCCTAACGACAGGCTGCAACGAGCTCCCTGATTTCCCTGTCCCTGCCTTATGACCGACGAGAATGTATCGACATCAGTCCCTGAACCCTGATCACCCAGATAGGCGCATCGAGCAAGAATAACGCCCTGAAGCATTCCTGAGCCCCGTGTTGCTTATACGAGTTCAGGACACGGGACCGACATTCTGAACGTTTCACTAGGGAAAAAAGCACGTTGGAGATAAGATAAGGACATAAGTAAACCGTGCATACTTGGGTCTTGATGTTTCACGAACGAAAGAGGCCTAACTCAAAAACCAGTTCCAACTGCTGTGCTTTGATATCATAAGAATCAGATGGTGGGAAGAATCACGGGGTAAACGTACATAGATATTCATGATCCCTTATCCCGTAACCTCTGCTTCTTTTCATCTCTTGGCGGCGAATTCTCTGGTGCGTATTGATCACCATATATAGAGAGAATCCTACGCGGAGATTAGAACCAATATGAATGCCTTCGATAAATTGGATGTCACTTGCGTCCTTCAGTCAAGGTTCTGCCAATGCCAGGAGATGCACGGTCCAAATGTCCGTCGCTATAACACGATAGCCGGGGTAGGCTCAGACGTTTGCGGACGCTTTCATGAAAATGGTCAGTTTATGACCCGAAGTACTAGTAGCGTGTATATCACTGTCAGAGTGAGACTTTGCAAACAAGAGAGAGATGCTCACAAATAAATGATGGAGTGCATCGTCGGGGGTGATAGCATTTCCGTCATCTAGCCCTTGATGTGAATGACTGTCCCACACTATGAGGCACTAGATGATACACCACAATCCTTAGCACTCACACATATCCGCAGATAAGATCTCTCGCTTATGTCCTTGGAACACTTTCATTGGCCCCAGATGGCATCGCAGCCGTTCAACCGCGTAACAATTGATGTCGAATCCAGAGAGCAGAATCTGTCTAAAATTGCCGGCGCTTGAAAGTTATATAATGGCGATATTTGTGTGCGCATATACGAGCGTCGGTGGAGATAACGAAGAGTACGACATGGCAACCTGGGGCCTAAACTACGACGACATGAATCGGTTTGAGATATCCAGAGCCGGCGTCCACTTCGACGTCCGGCGGCCATGAGGAAGTTGTTGGTATTTCCAGAACCGAGTCCGACATCCCGATATCAAAAGAACTAAAAAGAGCGAGTTAGTGGAGACGCCGGCTCAGTACGAACAAACAATTCACGGAGCTTTTTCCCAGATGGATAACCCCAGATTCCCCGCCGGTTAGAATCGCAACACTCCGGTAAAATCACGCTATGACAGGATCATTACAGTGCCCGCTGATGCAGATGCTCCACTGCATGGACGAAAATGAAGTCGCCGTAGCGTGGAAAGAGGACGTTACCAAGCCATCGGAGAGTATCATAGTTATGCAGCGGGATTCATTGACAAAGCGAGACGAGGGAGAACATCAATGGAGGGAAGGAAGAAGGAATCAGAAGAGCCGAGACCAGCTACGTCACGCGTTGTTTGTCTGAGCTTGGCAGATATGTGGCCAAGTACAGGCACTGACGCGCCACTTACCTTCTTCCATCCGCAATGAACAGGGCGGCAAACATCCTTTCTTCGGCAGTGCTATCCATATCACTGCAGGAGACGGTACAACTTAGCGAGAACGAATACCACACCTCCGTTCATAGCACTCTCAATTCTGGCTAAAAACATCCATGCGGTAAAAAAAAGTCTAGCCCTTGTAGTGATATACATTTCTCTGCTGCAATGCGACGTCTTTCTCTCAATTGGGTAACCGTTATGATCATCATTCTCAAGGTTGCTTTGTAAGGTAGCAGGACAAGGGCTCTCTCTCGGTGGCGAATAGTCGGCATGGAGATGTCAGAAAGGCAAGCGTGGCTGTTTCCTTCCCTTTGTCTTCATACTCATATAAAAGCCTTTGCAATACTGTCAAAATCTACATCTGCTCTTTCCCACCTCTTCCCATTTCTGCCTTTGTCTCTGGTAAGGACGTGTTTCTGTCCGCCATTTCGTATCTCAAGAAGTTTGACTCTAGTGCTCTAATTGAGAAGATCGAAGAACCATGACCGGGAAATCATCGCAGTACGTTCTTCTCGAATAACTCGATGGGTTTTGTACTCACGCCGGTAGTAGGACATCCCATGAGCCTATTGTTCTTTGCGATCAGTGTGAACACGCATTCTTCCCATCCGATACTCGCTCGCCTGCTTCTTTTGTAGACCAATGTCGCGGTTTCTACACCCCTTCGAGCAGGCAACGCGAAGAGATCCTCCGCGAGAAATCGCGTCTTGAAGGCGTTGCCGATGATTACGACCGCGAATTAACACGACTGCGCGACCTCGTCACCCAGCTTGAATCGGGAAGAGCCCAAGTACAGACCCATATCGACGACTACACTAGCCTAGCTTCAGCGCCTATCCGTCGTCTGCGCAATCCCCTTTCCCAGTCAAATAATTATCAGCCTTTCTTTTCTTCACTTGCGCAACATGACCCAGACAAGATTCTCAAGCGCATATTCACGTTCGCCTGCTACCGCGGCGAAGACGACGCCCTCGACTCTCACCTTCAATGGCTGAATCCTTTGGTAATATCACACGTCTGCTCTCACTGGCGCAAGGTATCCTTGGATATGCCTGAGATGTGGTCATACCTAGACGTCACCTGGGACCTAAACCCGAAGTCCAATCTGGAACTCTTACGCATGTATATCGCCCGCACTAAAACGGACACGCCATTATCGATCAGGATTAATTCGGACATGGAGCTCTTCAACCTCCACTACCACGCCTTTAGTCTCGTCCTGGAGCATGCCAAACGTTGGAGGGAGGCAATCATCATCGTTGATCATCAGCTACTTTGGCAGTTCCTCCCTGACTCCTTTGACATCTTGGAGAAGCTAGTGCTTCGTATTCTGAACATTCAAAGAGACCAAGTTGTCGAGTATTTTAAATTTGTCCCGAAACTTCGCCATGTCAAAATAGACGCAGCGTTTAGCGATTTATTATCTCCTTTCTATGCGGAAAGCCCGGGCCTAATGGGTGGGACAGATGTCCCGGACGTTGTTTGTTTTGAGTCATGCCAACTCGATGCACCAGGTCTTCATCTCTCGCTCTTCCCCCCGTTCCGCAGCGGCTCTCTCCAGTGGACCAACCTACAAGCGCTGACCCTCCATTCCCTCTCTTCCGACTTCGAGATGCTCTTAGACACCATAACCATGCCCAACTTGGATCGGTTCAGCCTAGTCTTAGACCGAGACTACAAGTTCGACATCTCTCTATTTCTTTCCCTTCTCTCCCTTGTTGAGCGCTCCGAATGCAAGCTTAGCGCTTTTACTCTGGACATGACATATTGTCGTGGGGAACACGTCCAGTCACACATAGAGAAACTTGAGTATGAAAATGAGCTACGGGAATTTTTGGAAGCGATTCCTTCGATTACGGAGCTCCGGGTCGTCGCGCCGCTAGGCTCGGGGTGTAGACATTGTGGTCATATATTATCGTTAGTGATCGAGTGGCTCCTCGTCTTGGGTAACGATGATCCAAGCATGATTCTCCCCCATCTGAGGAATCTGGAGTTTGTCTGGGCGGCTTTGACGACTCGGAATGTGATGCCGCTCAGGTCTATGGTGGAGAGTCGGGTGGAAGAACGTGTTATGTTTGGAGATGGAGAAGACGGGAAAGCGAGTGGAGACGTAAGTGTGGGCGGGTTTGGAGATGACATTAGCATGGGTGATGCTTCTTCCGAGACAAGTGCTCTTTCGAGTGAGAGCAACAGCGGTGATCCTGTCGTTGTCAGCGCTCTTCAGTCTCTCGTTATGGAATCACGAGGAGAAATAGATGTGGACAATTTCCTGTGGGAGTGGATGAAGGATGTAAGAACTCGAGGCATGGTTGTGTATCTACGGTAGTCTTTACCTTCTTGTTCTTCAGTCGCATGTTGATTTACATTTTCATTGGTACACTATGACTTAATAATAATGGCATCATACGAACTGTATAGTATACGTCTTTCGTAACTGATGCGTTCTTACAAAATAACCGTACTTTCTGTCCATCATTGAATAGCCACTAGGGATCGTCTTTGCCTGGTTCCTCGGCGCGATTCACCACTCGTTATGTCGCTCTCACCATCGGTCAGAGACCTGGTTTACAGGTTCAGTCAAGTTATACATTTTCCATCGTCTTGAGCTGCAATGCGACGCCAAAACCCCTATGAAGCCGAAGGGCCGAAGATCACTTACGTCACGCGTTGTTTGCTTGAGCTTGGTCAGTCAACAAATACCCCAGCCCATCTTTCCTCTCTCTTCCATCTCACCGCATGACAGACAGCGTCTCGACTCTTGCTTCAAGCATCGATGGTTACAGATCAATATGCCGTGCTCCTTGTCCAACGACGATGCGGTATGTTCTGCTATGGTGATCTATTTTCATCGCTGAAGATTCCGTTTAGGTAGCAGGACAAAGGCTCTCTTTCAATCAGGAGATTAGACGGCGAATTTTCTTTTATACGCGTTAAGATGGAGATAGGGAATCATGGAAATGAGTCAGGTGCGGAACCTTTTCTCTCCCTTTGTCTCCATTCTCATATATATCGCCTTACAGGACTGTCGACTACCTTCGCTGCATCTGCACTTTCTCACCTTTCCCCATTTTCGCTCCCATCTCAGGTATCGACCTATTTATCTGTACCATCTCATGTCTAAAACAGTTTAACTCTAGCGTTTCAACTGAGAGGATTGTTCGCTTCTTTGTACCATGACCGGGAAAAGAAAGTCAAGGTCGCGGTATGTTCTTCTTGAATAACTCAGATGGCTGTTTTACTCACATTCGCAGTAGAAATGTTCCTCATCCTATTGTTCTTTGTGATCGATGCAAACATACATTCTCCCTAGCCGACGCTCGCCCACCGGTTTCTTTCGCAGAGCAATGTCGCGCTTTCTATACCCCATCAAACAGGCAACGCAAAACTATCTTCCGCGAGAGATTGCGTCTTGAAGGTGTTGCCGCCGATTACGACCGCGAACTAACGCGATTGCGCGACATCGTCGCTCAACTCGAATCAAGAAGAGCAGATGTGCAAACCCACATCAACATCTGCGTCAGCCTATCTTCTGCGCCAGTTCGTCGCCTGCGCAATCCCCTTTCCCAGCCAGATGATTCACTTACCCTTTCCTTATCTTTACAACATGACCCAGACAAGATTCTCAAGCGCATACTCACCTTTGCCTGCAAACGTGACGACGACGACGCTAACTCTCATCTGCAATGGCTAACCCCGTTGGTAATATCACACGTCTGCTCTCACTGGCGCAAACTATCGTTGGATATGCCCGAGATGTGGTCATACCTCGATGTCACCCAGAACCTTCACCCAGATTCAAATCTGGAACTCTTACACCTGTACATCGCTCGTGCTAGAAGGAACACCCCATTATCTGTCAGGATCGAGTTGGACATCCACCACGCTTACGCCCGTCGGCACGTCCTCAATCTGGTCCTGGGTCATGCCGGGCGATGGAAGGAGGCAATCATCAGCGTTGATCACGGACAGCTGTGGCGCTTCCTCTCTTGCCCCTTTGACATCCTAGAGAGTCTGGTGCTTCGCATCGGGGGCATCCCAAGCGATCATCCCATCGAGCAATTCAAATTCGTCCCTCGGCTTCGCTATGTCAAAGTGGGCGTAGCGCTGGGCGCTTTGTCACTTCCGTACGGCGTACGATGTATGGACCTAAGGGGTCGGGCAGACGACTCCGAGGTGGTTCGTCTAGGGGCATACCAGCTTGACGCACCAGACCTTCATCTCTCGTTCTTCCCCATATTTACCGATGCGCCCGTCCGGTTGATCCATCTCCAAGCGTTGACCCTTCATGCCCTCCCCTCGAATTTCGACACGTTCACACAGACAGTGACTATCCCTTTCCTGGACCGTCTCAGCATCGTCTTCGGCGAAGACTATACATTCGACGTCTCTTCCTTCCATTCCCTTCTTTCCCTCATTAAGCGCTCCAAATGCCAGCTTAGCGCGTTCAGCCTTGACATGACGCAGTGTCCAGGGGATCACTATTCCTCGCACATCTCGCACATACAGAAGCTCCAGAGCGGAGACATCGTGTTGTGGGACTTTTTGGATGGGGTTTCTTCAATTAGGGAGCTCCGCGTCATCGAACCTCGCGATTCGGAGTGTGTACATTGTAATATGGTTACGATGCTGTTGCGGTGGCTCGTGGTCGATGATGCACGTAGGACTCCTCTGATTCTCCCCCATCTGAGGATGTTGGAGCTCGTTTGGACGGCTTTGCCAGATGTGGATTCGCTCAAGACTATGGTGGAGAGTCGGGCGGAGGAGCGTGTCGTAGTAAGAAGGAACACAACTCCGGTCGACGTCGAAGCTGAGGAAGGGAGTAGAAACGCGAATGAGGGTGACGAGACCAGTATGAGCGATGATTCTTTCGAGACTTGTCGCTCGAGTATCCCTTCGAGTGAATGCGACAGCGACGATGATGTCATTGTCAGCCCTCTGGAGTTTCTGGTTATCGGGACTCGAGCAGAAATAGAGGGGAACGATAATATGGCGGAATGGATGGGCGAGCTGAGAGCTCGCGGTATGACGGTGTATTTATGGTAGTCTTTTTTCTCCTTGTTCTCTCAACATGTTTACCCGATTTCTTACTGGTACATTATATCACATTATACCTCTAGGATACATACACTTTTCGACGTTTAATTAATTATATGTAGCCTTCCGATAACAGACCCTTGTGTCGCGTGCGTCATTGGATGACTAGGACCGGTTTCGAACGGCTTTGATAATCGATCTCTACTTATGACGAGGAAGAAGGATCATGGTGACGTTTGGGGGGCTTTGTCTCGGGTCTATGCATACGCCTGGAAACGACATATGGGTTCACGGGATGGGTCAACAGTGAGCCTCGCTTAAGCTTTAGTGCGTCAACCACGGCGCACGCTAGCCTTGCAAACTGGTTCAGTAGTATCAATCACTGTCCAGAACGCGTCGAATGCATCATACATGGCTTTGTCGGCGCGTGCGTGACTCGGTACTTCTGAAACCGACGGAGATTGCGGAAACCTCGCTAATAGCCAGTGGCCATATATTACAAGGGTGACTTCTATGGATGGGTTCTCTCTCGGAGCTCAAGTTCCAGTGTCGATGACTTTGATCTGCTACTAGGCCGAGAAGCCTCGGGAAATGGGATACGACGGTCCTGATCTCTTGGTAGTTCGTATTCGCGTGCTAGTAATGAGATTCGCAGGAAACTGGTAAGCGGGCCCGATCTCAAGTCGTCGCACTTTTTCCGAAGCAGGTGATATTGTCGGCTCCGAACAAGTCATTAGGTATGTACTACATTTCTATTAGTGTTGTTAGAACAAGTAACTTATATGTACTCTAGATATTACTAAGTTATCTCTTTGCTATCTCCTTAAGCCGTAAATGCGACACCATAAAATCAGTATCGGCCATTAATACTCCCCCGCCTTCCTCTCCCCCAATCCAAGCGGATGCTTCCGCCCTAAACGCCCTGGTCTGCTTGACCCTGAACAGCGAGACAGGTATGGGTATCATAAATTTGAGGTACCACCCATCCTGCATCAGCTCCTCCGCGTCATCCCAGTCCTCTTCCTCCTCCCCGTCCGAAAATTCGAATTCGTAATTCTTCCGCACAGGTAAACACCTAACTTTGCAACGCCGTTTTCTCATAAACCAGTTCACCCTGGTAGTCTTCCTCCACACGGGGAACGCGCAGATGCCTTGAGAGCCATCGGATTTTCCCCATGCAATCGGCCCTCGATAGTCGACGTAGAAGTCTGATTGCATGTAGTTGGGTTCAAGATCGGGATTCGGATTCGGAGGAGTCTTTGAAAGCGCAAGAGGATCGTAGTCGAACGACTGGCATCGAAAGTCGATGTACCGAATGTCTGGGGTGTTCTCCATGGGGACACCATCCCACCGTTCTGGATCTTTGAGAATGAAGTGCATTCGTGCTGGAACCGCGATCACTTGGCTAGACAGGAAGCGCAGATCAGTACAGGAAGAAGAATATAGGAAGAAAACACACAACGAACCTGTCATCCATATCCCAAATATCAAAGAACTGTCCGCTCTTCTCGTAGAATGTCAGAGAGACATTCATATCCCAGACCGTCGGACGGATAGGAGCGGTCTTGGAACGGCAGGAACCGCTATCTTCTGCATTGGGTTCATTGTCGTCCGCGCAAACGTCGTGCACACGAAGCTTCTGGGGGAGACTGAACCGCTCTGGAACAAGGCGCTTACTCGTCAGGGAACAAAGATCGGCACGACGAGAAAAGGGTAGCTTCTGGCCGAAAAAATGGGTCGGTAGTGGTAGTCTGGGGACCAAGAAGGTTCTGGGTGGAGGAATGGGGACTGGAGGACTGTCTTCGTCAGGGATAGTAGGAATGACATCGTCAGGACAAGGATAGACGACGATGTCATCTCCATTTTCGAGAGCGCTGTCTTCGGTATTAAGCCCTTTCCCTGGTGGTTTTTGACCACGAATAGTGTCTGTGGACGAGCTTCTCTTCTTTGGGAATTTGTACAGAGATTCTTCATCTTTATGGCCGTTTAATGTTACGCGGCTTCGTGAATGTTGTCTATGTGGGCGTCCTCGATTACGAGTGGCAGTGGCACGGAGAGTTTCCGTTGGGTCCGTTCTTCGAAGTGGAGGTAGAAAAGGCTCTGGAGTACATGGACGGTCATAGATCTCTGGCTTGAGCGGCTGTGCGGGTGTAGCATGGAGTAGGTTGCTCGAGGCGTACGTTCTGATGATGCGGGCCATGTAGGGAGCCAGGAAATCGAGAGCAGATGAAAGTCAAGGCTTAAAGCCAAGTGTTAAAGGTGGCTACTGGTTAACTATAAGTAGATTAACAATCGGACACAAAGTATACATGTCACTCACGGAACAAAGGCCAGCCTCAAGGCCTTTGTTTGTGTATTTGCTGTTGTAATATACTTCCCGTGATCACGGACATGAGGCGTGGATATATGTACTTTGGAGAGAAATTCCAGTGGGTGGTGTCGCGGTGAGTACTGACCATCCTCCAAAGCAGCGGAAGCTGCAACTTGCGATGTGCCGCCTGTCGGAGCCGTGCGGCGCGAGCATTTACCGTCGAAAATGTTGATAACTGTTTCTGGGACCTCGTTGCCCCACAAAAAGATACTTCTGTTATGATACTGATCCAAGTCAATATCTGATGGTGACCAGGCTATTCAAAGATCGTCATGGCAGTCAAGTTTTCGATCGTTTACTTGATCGTGGTCGCTGCGAAATTTCGTCGGCCCGGCATCTTCCGATCATCCATGCCGCGCCCACTTCGTATTACGTGAGTGACCCTGATCCTCCCTTTAACCACCAGCACCGGGACAAGGAAGTCAGGACCCGGATAATCTTCTTCAGTACTACCTACATTCATTGTCTCTCGAACGCTCTCCGGACATATTGATTCATGTTTTTCAAGGGCTGGCCTATAGTGCGCACATAGTCGTCGTCTTTTCAAGTCAAAAGCATGTTTCCGAGAAGCCTGCAGTTCCATGGTTCCCGAAAGGATCTCTCCAACCTACAACGCGTCGGTAGTACGTGAGCTCGCGTGCGGTACGATCATCCCTTCGCGATTACACGAATTAACAACGTAATACGGGAGCCTTGTTCCGGGCGCAGTAATAATGGAGCCGGGCATATGTAGTTGTCCTCGTGCTGGACTTCTTTCTCACACTGATATATTTTCACTCAGCGCCTCCAGGACCCGAGATACAGCGTCATGCCAGCGGGCCATTCATCTACGCAACAGCGATTGTCCTTTTCGCAAAGGATAACACTTCTCTCCGTAATCTGTCGTCTTCGTGAGTGATCCTTGTTGGGGAAATGAAAATCAGCCGATATTTCTCGAATTCAGTGGTCTATCTTCCATGGCGTCTCTTCGCTTCGTTCTTCACATACGAGCGCAACAAGAGCTGGCGGCAAATCTGGTCTTTGGCGGTATTCAACGTTTTTCTGATACATGGCAAAGGATTACCTATGCCGGATTCTCTCAGTAACTATGAAGCCTGGACGACGACGACTGGTCTGAAGCCATCCGTTGAAGAGCTTTGTAATGGCGCCAAGCTTCTCTGGGTTGGTCCAAAACGTCTAGATAAGGTGCTCTTTTACTGCCATGGTAAGTTCTTCCTCGTGTTCTCTCTGGCTAAGGCGGCTTGTACATCCGAGCCTAAGTGTGGACCAGCCTTTCTCACGTCGGTTGCTCTCGTGACCACGAATCTCCTCTGCCTTCTAAATTAAACAACGTCGCTGTAAATAGCAAGTCGTTGACGCGATTGGGGTTACTAATGTATCTTCACAGGAGGAGGATACAAGCTTAGCCTTGGCGAAAAACAGCTCTCTTGGTTGCGTTACATGCAGCTAGAACTCGAAAAACGAGGTGTCAATATCGGCATTGCCATCGTTTCATACAGTACGTACAACCCTCATGAACTTCTTCTAAACAGGTACTAATTACATCCCATTGCAGATCTCCTCCCCAACGCCGTTTTCCCCAGCCAATTACGCGAGGCAACAGACGGGCTTCAGCACCTCATAGCTGCCGGCGTCTTACCGGAGAATATCATCATTGGCGGTGACTCTGCAGGAGGGAACCTCGCACTTCAGCTCCTCTCCCACATACTCTATCCCTTACTCTCGATCGAAGCACCCCCAGTCCGCTCGGATGCGCACTTTCGTGGACTACTCCTCGTTTCTCCTTTTGTCGGAGCGATGGAGGACGCACAGATGCCTCTACCACTCCTGGCGCCCCGACACGAACGCGACTTTATCCCGGCCGAATACCACAGCAGCGTCTGTCAGGATCTTCTCAGGGACGTCCCTAAGGATGACATCGCGTACGTGGATGTATTAGAGGCGCCAGAGGAGTGGTTCAAGCCTCTGAGTAAAACTGTCGGCCGCGTCCTCGTTACAGCGGGGGAATGGGATTTCCTTCGGGAGAAGGGCGAGCGGTTTTATGAGAGGTATTTGAAACCATTTCATGGCGATTCCAGGTTCGTGCTGGAGAAGGGTGGGATTCATGTTACGCCGATATTTGACTTTATCGCGAAGGAGAAACGGTTGAGCGAGTTGACACCGTTAATGATCGAGTGGCTTGCTGATACTATGAAGGAGTCCTGATGAAGTTGTAAAGCTCATATTGTGACAGATATAAGCTGTAGATACTATTTATGTACAGAAATATGGTATTCGATTCTGTCATGTTCTCGGGAAACAACTTGTACCCGTGATAGAGGGGTACTGACTTTGCCTTAGTTCGACACTGCTGATTGAGAGTATGGCGCAGGAATATCATGGGCTGAATTCTCGGTACACGATAAGCACGAGTGCAGATGCGTCTCAAAAAAAGCTCCGTAATTAATAATCCTGAATATCTTTTGCAGTTTCTCATTATCAGTTTTGGCGATCTAAATCCCAAAGTTCTTCCAATAGTGTGATCCCTGGAAAATCCTTGGAAAGAACGAGTTGTGCGAGCCACGGTCCACCATTCGTCATGCAGAAGAATAATAACCTCATTCGCAAGACAGGCACACGGCAATAGGTTTACAGAGCAAAGTTAGACTCAAGTACTTATTTCTCGTCATTCGCCTTACCGACACCCTATGTAACATGACTACTCAATAATATTATCTCCAATGCGACAATAATACCTGGGATAAAATTGACTTCAGTGTGGATTTGAATGTCATCAGTGTACGGTTTCCCATTTCTCCGTGCTTACATAGATTCGAGGAAGGGTCCGCCGCATCCACTCAGGGCATGGAACAGTGGTGACCTCATGTCCTGGCAGCCTCCGGGACCAAACGCGAAGGGTCACAGGCATCGCGATCACGTGGATTCTGTCACGCTGGCAGCACACAGAGGATAGCATGATATTGGCATGATATGAAACGGTATTATATATGACGCCATATTTCAGGGGACCTCACATTAATTGTAGTCTCAAGGTTTCGGAGAACCATCTTGGACTGCTTGCTTAAACAGTAAACTTCGCTATAACGAGACCTTCGTAGGTGTAAGAGGTGTGCAGGATGCCAATGATAAAAATGAGGGATCAGAATTACTAGTATAAAGACAGCGTTGTCGCAAACTACGGGAAAGAACCAGCCCTAACCAGTGACAGAGAGCCAGCAAGTCAATTCCTGGTTTATGAGCTCATTTGAGTACTGCTTCTGTGTCGTCTTCAGAATTGCGATGGCCAACGGAGAAGGAAGGAAACCAATAGAATACGGAGCAAACGTCGCCGCAGAATAATTTCGGATTTCATGAGGGCCTGGAAAACGGGAAATGAATTGGGATGAACTAAGTCGGAAAACACTCAATATGGATGCAAACGCATTGGCAGCCTCGCGGCACATGTATTCCACGTTGTAAGTAAGGCACCGAACACCGCCAAGGAATGTGAAAGGCCTAAAAACGTGTTAGATCGTCTAATAGTTAAGTACTAGGATCTCTGAAGAGGCCGTTTATAGTCAACGGATGGGAGTCGTAAGCGATTCTTGAGCCAGTTCTTGTATTCCATAGTGGTCCAGATGTTGCGGATTTAGAAGTGCGAAGTCGTCAAATGAACTGGAAATTATTCCAGCAGGTTTGTGCGGTTTAATGACGAAGGAAGCCAATCGGGTGCAATTAGCGTCGAGAAGACGGCTGTCCCGAATCGGAATGTCAGTAAGCGTAGAGTAGAAACCAAGACTAAGGAACTGCTTTCTGGTGTACATATAACTCGACTCTTCTGCTTGGAAGAAATCAGTCAATGTGGCGGGGAGGGACGGGAGGAAGCTAAGAATATCAAGGCACTGATGATAGCTTCAAGGGGTCCATGCTTCGAACTCAAGGGTTCAAACTTCATCGACATCTGTGAAGATATAATATGTTTTATGAATAAAGCGTGACGCAGCATGGATAGCTCAAGACCCACAAGACTGACTGGCGTTTTCGGGTTTGAAATCAAAAGGTCCGAGTGTCTGCATCAGGCAAGGACATATCGAAGGCCTGAGTCGAGCTTGGTTAGCCCAATTGAACGGCTGCCGTGATTCGCAGTCGTGCTCACAAGCGCCTCGGTTCGTTCCTGCAGGGTAAGAACGCTAAGATATCGTGTCTGCGTACAAACCGGAAGATCTGGTGACTGAGATTCGATGTTAAAAAGGCGTAACATTCGCGTAGGATATCAGGCGACATATGAGATTTCTTCGCGGAAACATATGGGCATGACACGTTCTTAGTCGAAGGTAAGTTGTCATAGTCATCGACCGAGACTAAATCGAGGCCCGCGAACCTAGCAACGCGAGGCACCATGCCATCTACGTGATGCGAGTCCGGATGAGACGCCGCGTCCGATAAGCGGCGTAGAAAGCTACACTGAGTCCGATATACCATCAGTTGCGCTTGTAACCAGTGGAAGAAATATACCTAGCGTTCTGTAGTATGTCAAACTGACCGGGCTATGACAGTGGACTAACTCGCGCCCGTCACAGTAAAAGGAGAATGAGCGGAACCAAACTTATGAACAAAGAAATTGTTTCGTACCCTTTAACGATAAAACTGGGGGATCTCCCTATGTTTTCGATAGGACCAAAATAGTTGCCTGCCAGGAATGAGCTCGTCATGGCTAGCAGCTACTCAGATAGGCGTGCCACGTTAAATTAATTCCTTCATCTCCGAGTCAGGGTGACGATGTCCTATACCTACTTATGTCGAAACTCGACCATAAGAGGTACGGGCGAAATGACTGGTGCAGGAAGAATCGGCGGCCCTGGGGAAAAGAATCGGCAATGGAAATCGCATTTCCACCGTATTGCTGAGATATCAGATTATCGCTTTATGTTTAGTGGATAATGACGGCGATTCGTTCGGTGGATCAAAATCTGGGCATGTGGCGAAGCATAGAAAATGTGGGGATACGGAGGAAGATCTTCAGAGTTCGGCTACTAGTAGGACGTGTATCGTCATTGCTACGGTCTCCCAGAGTCATGACATAAGGATGAGTACAGCTCAGATGATATGCAAAAGGAAAGGTGGTCCCAGCGCCATAGATATCTGGTGTCAGTCCGCGGGAGATCCGTCGGAACGGCAAAAAGCAGAAAATAAACCTCCACCATTGTAGTAGTCGCCATTTTCAAGGCTGTGTATGGCGATGAGTGTGATGAGATGCGGCGCCCATCACTTCGGCTGCTGCTCGACTACATTGTCAACCAGCGCGATAAGCAACGGGACCGGAAAGCGTCCGTCCCTAAAGCAGCGCCAGCCGCGATGACAAAAGGCTCTTGCCTTATCCAGGCGGCGCGCTGCAGCTTCCCCTTCGAAGAGGTCACAGCACGGTCTTTGATGCAATACCTGACAACGAGCATAAAGCTACCCGGCTATCTGAAATCTTTTTTCCTACTCAGAGAAAGGGGCCGTAAGATACGGCTGCGAATCGTCGGCAAGGAGCAGTCACCGTGATGGGTACAATCACAATCGAACGCGGCTAGCGCTGTGTGGAACTTCTGACAGTGTGTGGGCGTGGCCGAGAAACAGCGTCTCGCGAATGGTGATACAGCGGTGCTGCACTAGCCGGAGAGCGCGTTCCAAGAGTTACATGTGGCCTGTCCCATGATGAGTCCTATCCTTTTGAATACGGCCATTGAATCTCCCCGTTGCGTATTTCTTCAAGTTGTAGCAAAATTGCATGACCATTTTCAGAGTTTGCAGGTGGTCGAACATTCGTGATACACAGAAACACTCGTCGATCAAAATGAGAAAGCTGCTGGCACCGTCAACGTCTTAAGGAAGACTGGGGGTACGGTCAATGTCACGCTTCGAGCCGGCTAATGTGCGAGTAACTCACTTGCACTAATGAACCGTGCCAAAAATATAATGCTAAAATGCCGAGATACATCATACACGCCTTCCGGTGTGAATACGGCCGTGGTCATTAATCCAGCATGGTGAAGAAGCTCTCTTCTTCTAGACAGATGTCGTCGAAGATACGCGCAACCAAAAATAGTGGTAAGGACGCTCTGGAAACTTCACCGACCAACCCCAGTGTTGAATACCGGCATTCCAGGAGGTAGCACGGGGTGAATAAGAGCCTGCGATGGCACACGCCGAATGGTAGGCTTCACGATGAAGGCGAGGTATCCTGCTTAACACAAAAATCTTAGCGATAGTTACAGAATGATACACAAAACACGAACCGATGAGGAGGAACAGATGCGGCAGGCCGCTGAGGTTAAAGCAAGGGCAGAGTAAATCTCGTTATCTCTGCAGGATGCCACGGCTTTGAGCAATTAGGGCAGCTGTGTAGGCTCGATATTCCGATTGGTCACGGATGAAGCCGACGAACATAACAATCGGCCTAGTGCTAGGGCTTTGTGTGGGTAATTGAGGCAGGAAGCGGTTGATTTGAATCGGTTTGAGAGAGAAGGTCCAGTATTACGGGCTTCTATTTGCACTGATTCACGAGTAGTTAGTTACTCTCTGAAATGAATGTTCCTTGTCGGCCACTATAATAGCGAGCCTCAACTGAGAAGATCATCAATATCCTTCTAGCAGGACAAAACACGGAAGTCTACTTGCCCACAGCCCCGCCGCGAGACATGACTAGTCGTTGATGGCTTTCTTGCGAAGAGATTGTGAGTAAGAAGTCTGGCGCCATTATTCATGACTCGCTGTGTGATCTCTAAGCATAGTTCCCTTGCTAGCATCAATGTTATCACGTCGGCAAATGAGTGGGATATGGGCCTCATTGCGAGCTTAATGAGGGTGGTGATCGTCCGTCTGTATGTTGGGATGGGGATAGCACTTCAGCCGAGAGGAAGGTTTACAAAGCGGTGGAGCTGTTCGCACTCAAGGGTGACTAAGGAGTCACAAGAGAGATGAAAGGTTACCGGCCGTCTCTGCTGAGCGTTATTAGAAAACGCGTCCTCGAACTATGCGCGTCTTGGCAGCGAACAGGCATGGTCATTCCTAAGATTTTCGGAGGATAAGGTTTGGGCCGTGAAAAGACGCAATAACCCTTCACGTCTTCCTTCTACACGAAGGAAAAGGGTCATCCCTTGCTGCTTGCGTTTCCTCGGGAGTAGAAAGCATGGCTATCATCAGAATCGTCTTATCAGGCCTCCAGCTTCGATCAAGAGAAGTGCTGGCGTAGATGCAGAGATCTTATTGCCTCAAGGTGATGTACATGATATGACGGGCGCTTGTCGTAATAAGCGGCGCGTCGTCTGACTTGTGAGTTTGAAAAAGCTTGGGTCCGGGGACCACAGGCCATCCACGTCCACTCTACTCGCATCCTTTCGGAGACAAGACATTGGCAGACGAGAAATGGGAGGCTGAGGAGGAATGACAACATGTACAGGATAATGCAAGACAGCATTGGAACCTGCAGGCCGCGACTGCCTGGTGATTGTTGTCTTCGTACGTTTGGAGTACCGATGGATAGTGCCAGAGAACGATTCGATACGGTGTAACAGAATGATGAAGGCAACCAAAAAGACTGAGCTAGAGCCTGCAAGAAAGGTGTCAGTTGACATAAATTTCTGTTAGCATTCGGCTGGTTGACCTTATCAGAGAAGCGATCGTGGTGAGGCCGACATCATGAACCCTTCATCTCGACGGGTCGGAATAGAAGTTTAATAACGAACTGTCAGCTCTGTTGTAACTAGTACCCAGAAGGAACCTATGGCGGAAATGAGCGTAAGGTTCAGAAGCGGTGAAACCACGTACCGACAGATGCCAGACATCCGTCTCGATGGAGACGCAGAGATGACTGTCATCGACGAACGACGAAGGGCAATACGATAACGGGACAAGTGTTCAGGGCTATACACAATGGTTCCGGTCATTGACACAGATTTTCATGACGAAAGCCTCAATGCTTTCCAAAACAGACAAACAGACACGCCTACAAGAATGCCCGCCACTGAACCTGAACGTCACTGTAAACTGGGCAGAATCTGACGCGGACGGATGGTCACACGTACCTATTATCACGTTCCTACAGTTATTTCGGGTTTGACGCAGACAGCTATGGCTCGTTACGATGTCTTGACTTCAAAAGGTCTCTTGGCGGTAAGTAGTCGGCTACACCTGGTGTCAGCGAGAACGAAGACATGAATGACGGATGTACGCACGTTATACCTGCTGCTTCACCTAAGAATTCAAGTTCAATAGATGTGCTTAAAGTTCTTTCTTTTGGTATCAAACAACGGGGGCTAAATGAGCTCGAAGAGTTGGGGTCCTTCTTGCTTGATGACCAAAGAAGAAAGATTTTCCAGGGAGCAGAGCGATGGAACAATTGCCATAATAAAAGTGAGGAAAATTTGGGGAACCTCGACATTCGACCTTTCTTTGTTTTTACTGTGTCACAAGAGACTCGCTCAATCCTGCTCAATCGCAACTTGAAAAACTAGCATTTTTCCTGCGACGGCTTGGCCCATTCCTGTTAAGAGATGTACGAGCCATAGAAGGAAGAGCTTAATAACATCCGCCATACTCCCTATACGACAAGGATGTAGAGAAGGACACTGGGAAGAACAATGTTGGGAGAAGACAAAAGGCAAGTCATACTAGGGTTAGGGTTACAACTGTTCAATGAAAGCGATCAATTGGAAATTATATCCTCCCACCCTCACGCGAATTACAACGATCTGGGCGGCTTAACTGTAATTAGCCCTCTTACTCGTGTTGTTGATTCAGGTGCGCAAGCGAACTAGCTGGTGCTAGCATACTTAGTCTTGCTCCCGGGCTCAACTTTATTCTGATTGTTTCGCAGAATACAATGGCAGACGCTCAGCCTTGGCCGCAAAAGTTTTTAATGAAGTCCTTTCCCTACGCTGTTCATGACAGCACCACTGGCGAGAGCGTTTTCTATGGTCCGTACATGCGTCTGCTGTATCATTTTCCCCCCCTCGATGGACCGTTTGAGATCATTCCGCAATTCCGTGTTCTTGCTACTCCTCGGGACAGCGTCGACAGCGTCGTAACGTTTACTGTCGAATTGAACAAGCACCCGGTCCTGTTCATTCTGATCAAACTGCTCGCACCATTTCGTCTGGATTCCAAACGCCAAGAAGCTGACAGACAGATGCGGGAGCGTTTCCGTGACCTCCACTCCGACGTCGTCACTCCAGCTCTCCCTGGCATCGGAACTCTTCTCTCATTCTACCGCCATGACAAGGCAACTAAATCCCTCACCTCTCCCCCAATTGCTGCTGATCCCAATATTATGACCGATGCAGTGCCCAAGAGTCTCTGGGATTGCGAGATTTTGGATGCTGCTAGTGCAACTCGTTTTCGCGAGATGGTCAACGAGGTTAAGGGAGATGTGTGCTCATACCGGAATATTCCGCAGATCTAGTGACACAGTAGATGGCTCGACGTAATCGCATTCAGGGATGCAGACTTCAGCAAAAACGGCTTCCTGGACCAAAGCGGTGGAGAAAGCTCGTTTTGCCGCAGGAAAAGCTGGAATTACAAGAAGCTCGTGCCTTTCGTTGTCCGCGCGCCTATGTTCAGATGGGAAAGCATCTGCATGGACGGCGCGGTCGACATGTATACGTTAATAGAATACCCATGCAGCTTTCAGGCCGGTTTCGTTCACGTAAACGAAACTTCCTCCCAAGATACTGTCTATGAGTACCCACGTCAAAGTACGAGTTGCCTTCATTTATTTTTGTGTCCTGATATATCGTCATCTCTGTGAACTTTGAAGGCTCGCATCCTCCATGGACTAATGAGTCGCAGGATCTCCTTATGATGGATACTTTCTAACCATTTATGAGATTTGATTTTTAGACGACCGACCTAACTTCTGATGATTCTTATACTACTATCACTTGATCACTTGATACCAGTGACCGGGTCATTATTCAGGCTGTTGCTAGCCGCAAAGCGTCGAACCGCATCGGACCATGAGGACCGACATCGCGCTTTTCTTTACATGTTCTAGTCTTAAAACTGTGCAAGCGGTAGTGGCTCTTGGGTCTCCATCATTGATGGCCCTTACTCTGAGCTGGCTCTGAATTCGAGGCTCCCGCCGGCAGCTAGCCACGGGCACTAGTGGTATATATTCTAATGACATCGGATGCATTAGCCCATTACGAATCTCTTTCCAAGGTTAATCTCCTCATCCGATCTTTCCTGAGAACCATGCCCGTCTAATCTTGGGGAGATAGGTTTTCAATCAGTAATTTCTCAATCTCTTCACTTGAACTGAAACCGTATAGACTTGCTGTCCATTCGACAAAAGTTGGAAATGTTATTTGGCCAAATACGGCATTGGCTACTCTCACAGCTGCGTAAACATTTAATTAATCGCCTATTCTTGCGAAGGCTATTGATTCTGGGATGCTGTCATCTGCAATTCGAATAACCGATCTAATTTTGACTGTGATAAAAAAGGACTCAGGGGTAAACAAGGCTGTGAATCCTTGTTTCAGGATCTTATGCCGACCTAGAAGCGACTGCTCGAAACCTTACCGTTACGAGATTCGAAAGTGCCTTATTTCCTCCTAGATTTCACTCAAATCTCACTGAACACTTCGAAGGTCCGTCGTATCCGAAGCCTGCTTCTGGGAGAGCGAAACGATGTTGACTTCTATTTCAGATGGTCACAGCAAGTGTTTACACTTCAACGTATCAGAGTTTCCGTCCCGCACTGAATTCATACCCAAATTATTCTCCGTGAGCTGAGCTGAATTGACTCGATTCAGCTCACGCAGAGATCATTTTGCCTCAGATTCATCCATTTCCCGTCGAATCCTGAATTCTGATCCAATTTTTGTTACACGCAGTCCACAACCCGTAGGATTTTTTCGACTTGACAACCGGTTCTTGGAACCTTGCGCGTGTATACAGCTAATAGAAATCAGTCACCGAATATCAAGGCTATTTTGATCCAGTATGGTGATTCACTATCTCAGCCAGAAGGATAGACAGGGAAGGATCGCTATGCTCCAGCATGCTCTGACTACGCCTGGGAATCAGTCCTTCTCCTTTTCCTTTTCCTCATATGTCCCGCATTTGGAGCACTGGTGTCTAACTCCCATCGCTGGACCTTTGTTTCTCCCTCAATTGGGCAAGGACTGATCTCGGGATAGTATTCGGTCTATGGAAGGTTTCCGTCTCTAAAGCTATCTCAAAGTTCGCAACGTCTTTCCACTCTGTCATGATCCTCTATTCGCTGCCTTCCATGTTCCAAAATGCTCCAAACCTAACAGTATGTGAATCCTTATCGATGAACGGCCTCATTCTTCCGTCTCTGGATGCTGTTTACTTACGCATACCCTCCCCAACCGAACTGGACGTATGAACGAGGGGCTTATTGTTTTACACCTCCTTATAGAAAGATTCAGCCGCTCGGTTGTCAAATTTCCTGTTCATGACGTCGAAACTAACATTATCGGACAAAAGAATATCGTTAACATACTAAAGTCAAGCCTACACTTCCGTGAACTAGCCGTTGAACGGAACCAATTGCGGTATTTAGTGAAGGAAATATCAGCTGTGCAGGATATTGTCCCGGGATTGGAGCGTTTCACATTTTACATACATACAACTCCGAGTGGAGACCCATTTGTTAATGCCCAAGTCCGTGTCAATATCGGCAAGGCATTCGTCGATATAATCTCGCTTCGTTCCAGTTTATGTATGAGGATATCAGTGTGGGTCATGGGTCTTCCGTTGGAAGGATTATGATTGCGGATGAAGAAAGTCCGGCATTTGAAACAGTTGAAGGAGAGTGGAAGCAACATTTCTATCGTTACATACGAGGAAAATATGGCTGCGACTGCTCCTTAGTACAAGTCATTGTTAAACTGTCGGCTACCATGACTACAGCGTGAAATATTCTCGCGCCAGTTACGACATGCGTACTAGAGTTTGCAAGATACCGAGACCTTGTTTAGTTAGTATTCTGTGTTGTCAGCACAGATGGTCTTTAGTTCAATACGATACGACTCGTGACCCCTGCTAGGAATAGAATATGGAGGACACGGGAGGAAATGCAACTTGTTAATAGTTACCTGGTACGCGATGACGGTTGTTCCCTGCAACGGTGCTAAAACTTTCGGCTTTCAAATCACGATGCAGTTGCGGCGAGGTCTGGTTCAAGGTGGATACGACGAAGATAGACAAGAACTGCTCGAGTGGAAAATTTAACAATTATTGATAGCCAAAGATATTAGACGATCGTCACCATTGCTGTGATATATCAGAGCTGTTAAATAAAGATGCATACATGACGATGTGTCAGATATGCGGAAGGAAGCTAATCCACGCGATATCCTGTGATACGCCAGCTGGGAGATCCCTTAGCGCCAGAAACGGCTCCACGAGTGAAAAAGCCCTCGCCATATCATGCACTATCCAGAGTAAGATATAGAGGGATCGATACGTGAAACTGAACAAGTGACTATCCCTCTCAGGTTCGTTAAAACCAAACCAACCGGCTGTCTTTTCAACCACAAATGTAAGTAGGATGGCAGAGGGAGGGGCAAGCATGAAGATGAAAGAGCACCCCCTCCAGAGAATTCGCTCGATGGATGTTACGAAGGGGTAGTGCCAGGCAGCGCAATAAATGGCGCCGAATATGCCAATGCAATTTCCGCATGCGACAATATAAAACAGCCTTGTGTTGTTCGGATGTCCTGACCAAAGACGGGGGACTCCTTCTTCGCTAGAGGGACCAGCGACATCTGGGATTATGTCCCCGCCGAAGAATATGGACAGAAGGCGAAAATTCACCCAGTCCTTAAGATGTTCGGCGTCTAGGCTCGTGGGGAAAAGGCTAGGGAGTGGCCGCGGTGTTTTCCATCCTTCAGGTGGGTAGTCGGAAGTCATGGTGTTCACTGGCGTGGATGGAGTATTCAGAGTCGTCGGTGAAGTGATGGCTACTCTAAACGGGACAGAAATTCCTAGAGGTTTGTGCCACCAAACTGCATAGTTGATAATAGTGAAAATGGCGTAACCGACGGCTACTATTTCGAGAACGGTGAGAGGGAGGTGTTGCGCTACCCTGGCAACGCATTGCAGGAGGAACCATGTGGCTTGACCCACGGCCACTGCTTCGGACAGACCATCGCCTTTATCTCGGTCATCGATTTCCTTCTTTTTTATTTCACCGAGCGACTTCACGAGGCTTGTGTGTTGTTTCAGCTTTTCCAGAGTTATCGGACATCCATCAGAGTCCACAAACGCGCCCATGGAAACGAGGAAACCGTGCGACATACTGAGCTTCTCCGGACAAACTAGGCTTACAGTCAGTATCCTGCTCTAAGCAAACATCGGATTAGAGTGCTAGTACTCACGCGCACGAATAAGCCGAGCGACAGAATGTTGACGTAGAGCCCAGATGGTGACGTGCTCTGGGGAGAAAATAGTGAACACCATTAACTCCGCGTGACGAAGAACATTGAAGTAGAACCATCCTTTCTTCTCCATTTTTGGCCCTGGGACGTTCGGATGGACAGAAACCCAAATACAAGCGAAAATGGTGGCCAATGAACTCCAGAGAATGGATAGTACGGTTCTGCCACCGCCCAAATCGAAAATGGGTTCTTCGTTGGTCGGCGAGTCGGTCCCCTGAGTGTCAAGGGGCAAGCACGAACCAATGATGGAATAGAGTAGAAGGTATAGGGGTGCTAGCCTCAGTGCAGATGCAAGGCTCTTCCGACGAAGGAATAAGAATCAGCAGTCATCAAAGGATGATACAAAGAGCTCACCAGAGAGGAGGATCTAGCCATCGGTTGTACTAAGCGAGGTGGTAACAGTGGCGCACTGAAATCCCTTTAAAACGGATAGCGAGGCCCGTTCTAGGGAGACTGTATGACTTTGGTGCGGTCGGGTCGATCTACGGCCGTATTGTAGGTGGCTGTTATATCGGTGGCCGGGCGGTGGGAGTCATAGCTTCATTCCAAAGCCTCCGTAACCCGTAGGACGCTGATCGGCTGCACGGAACTGAAAGAATGAACAATTTAAGTACTAGAACTTGTCCTGCATGTGCCAGATTTTTGTATAGGGGAGCGGGCTGCACGGATGACCCATGCTGGTCGGAGATAGAATACGTGTTTGCATCGGTATCCCGGACAAAGGTGATCAACTAGCCCGGTCACTGGTCAATGGATGCATATCGTGTGTACGTGGGCGGTGATGAGCCATTACTTGCCCATGAGTGTTTGGGCGCCTGTTTAGACATATCATATATGCGGGCGATTCAACCGCCTCAGCCCTTGACGCGACGCTGTAGCAGTGACGAATATGAGGCCAGAAAGTGGATCAAATACCGGAGCTTCGAGTTACAAGTGGAGTGCCGTGAAAGAGCACAGACGATCCATGCTGCTGGCATATCCGTCATCGCCGTAGAGATGCAAGTTGTTTCTTTCCGTATTGGAAAAGTGTGAAATTGGAAGATTTCGGCGTGGTGCCCGCGGTGAGGGGTATTCATTGGTCTGGAATGAAGGATATAAGCGCCTTGTTATGCAAACCGTAGTAAGAATGCCTTGGACACTACGTCGGTAATGAAAATCGGGGTGTCTCCTGGGACGTTGAACAGGGAGAAACATACACCCCTTCCCTAGATCCGAAACGAAGGCCACGGGTCATCGGCATCATGGGAGGAGGTATAGAAAGCGCTAAAACGTTACAGCGTGAGAAGTGCACCTTGAGTTTGCATCAGCTTCTTTGGAAGCAGCACGAAAGATACGAAGACTTACGGAATGTCTTATTGGTGCTGTGACGCGCTGAGTTCGTTAGTGAGCACACACAATGGGGAGGAGCATATGTATTGTCCTGATTATTGGAAAATTTTCAAAGTAACGTCCCCGGTAATGCCGTGTTGAAAAGAAAGACGATTTATGCTAATCTTTTTTCAACACGCTGTGGCGAGATTGTACTCGAAGTTTGGCTAGCGAAGGATATTTTTGCTACCAATACTGCAATGCAAAGAAGCATACCCTTTCGAAATCTCACCAAATTAATTGGTGTAAGAGAATTATGAACAAAATCTCACGAGGCTGATATAGCAGATCGCATTTGCCTGCCATTGAGTCGTTTGGTGCCATTCCTGCATCGATGCAGGGTTGCGATGACCACGCCGTTCATATGAAGGTTACAACATAAGCGCCCTGTGAAAGACAGCATTCAGTGGGTGTAAACATGCCAGAGGTATAATAAACTTACGTCGCGTGTTTTCTCTTCCGAGCAACACGAACATGGTCCGAGAGGGTAGTCGCCTACAGGCTTGATGTTTCTGAGGGTAGTAAGGCTGCGACAAGTGCTCCGTTGATTGACGTTCGTCATGTGTCTGCGTCCTTCACTGATTCGGAATGATCCGTCTTCGAAGAGCATAGAGGGGCACCCATACAACGTATGGCTCGTTGTTATTCGCTACAGCGATCCGGGCCGGAGTATATCTCAATGAAAATTCTACAACGGCGGACCAACAACTGACTGTATGGACTTGGTGGGTTTTCTATGGCTTTGTCAGTCTTAGGTATTCTGCGAAAAATATCCAGCCATACCTTGTACCGCAGTCAGGCTCCAGTGAATCAGAGGATTAACATGTGAAAAAAGCAGCCTATAAAACTAAGAGACTGATTTTGTATGCTTGGATGCCAGATGGGGAGCGAAGGGAAATCCTCGCGTAGCCTGTGGGCTGAGTTTCCTCTGCAGAAAGATGCGGTTAGCTTCCTATTGAAGTCGTTAATAGCTGAGGACGCAATGGAGACAATTGCAAGGTCTTCTCTTCCTGGTAAAGCTGCACACAGAGCTGAGAGGAAGGGGGTTGGAGGTTCGGAGTCACAGAGAAGGTCTACGGTACAAAATAATTGAAGAACATGACCTTTAACAAGCGCCGTTCCATCTCGATCCGAAATTTTCATTGGTGCGGAATAACAAGAAAGTGAGTAGAATAATGTTGATTGAGCAGTTGCTGGTGGTGGTTAATGCGCCGGATGGCCGGGCCGTGCATCTAAACAAATCAAAGCAAACAAGACACGCCGGAGCCTCGCGCGCCCCTTTCCTTCTTACCGCCATCATCTTCTCCCTCATATCAGCGTTGTCTTTTCCTGGTATCCTCTTCTCCTAGGCGAGATATTGTTAGAGTCTCACTATGAATATTCGCTCAATTCAGTTTGGTCGGGGTCGAGACACATTAACAGTACGACATTCAACAACGGAATAGTCAGGTATCGGTATTATCAGGGAGTTGTGACGCGTCGTGATGTAACTTGTAGTGTTCTCAAGCCAGCATGTACCGTGCCGCACTACTTCGTTGGTGAGAGTCCCCGTGCATCCACCCTTTTCGCCTCTCATACCCTCCGCGCTCCTTTAGGATATTCATTACCGAAGCAAAGCTCAAACTCGTGTGAAGGACTTTCAAAGTGATGATGCCTGTAGAAAGGATCTTAGAAAGGTGCGTGAACCTCACTCCGCCTTCGTTTGGTTTCCTCACCTTCTCATAGACCGTTATGATTCGTCCTTGTTGCCTTGATACTAACTTGTCCGCAGAGCGAGAGCTGGAGGCATGTCGAATCTTTCCCTGGATGCCCGTGTGCAACACTGAACTTCTGACTTTGGCAGTGACAATCATCCACCAGATTGCGCGGAATCCTCCGAGAACTAGGAGAGAAGCGACATCATTAGCGTGTCAACAGAAAGTGTGACATCATCGGCTTGCCACCAGTATAAAGTGCCTATGGCAATTCCTGCTTTGTTTGGGCTCTCGACCTCTCTTTACGTCATCCCAAGTCCATCGTCTTCTATGCTTTTCTCCGTCCTCGCCTTTCTTGTATTATGCCCCGTCGTGCTTGGCGCCATATATGAAAGCTATGATAGCCTTCCCAGGAAAGATTTCCATTATATCATCGTCGGAGGTGAGTGGTACAGACGTACGTGGCTCCTCGCTAATATCAAGTTCAAGGCGGGACGGCAGGCAATGTACTTGCCAATCGTTTAACCGAAGATCTGAATGCCTCTGTTCTTGTTCTCGAAGCGGGCGAATCGTGTGTATGCTCTCTTTCCAGCCGTTCAATGTTTGATGGGTTCCATAGAACAGCAGACGTCCTTCTCTCGCAGGTCCCGTTCTTTTCTCCTCGTGCAATAAAATCATCATTAGATTGGAACTTTACCACCACGGAGCAGCCAGGATTGAACCGACGGTCTATCCCATACCCTCGTGGATACGGTTTGGGAGGAAGCAGCGCCATCAGTATGTCGTCTTGCCTTTGAATGTTAACTGGACTGATGATGTGTATGTTTGTGTGCTCTCAGATTCTATGTTCTATACCCGTGGTTCCTCGCAAGACTATGACCGTTACGCTCGGATCAGTGGTGACCCGGGATGGGGATGGGACGCTCTACGACCGTATATTCGTAAGGTAAGTCGTAACTTCTTTTACTTTACCCATTGCTATGCTGACCTTACGATAATCTGTCAGAATGAACGTTTCCTCACTCCTGCCGACCATCACAATGCTACCGGCAAGTTCAACCCCAAGGTCCATGGCTTCAATGGAGTCACGTCCGTCTCTCTGCCCGAATATCCGCGTGCCACGGACGACCGCGTCATTCAAACAACGATGGATCATGCTAGCGAGTTCCCGTTCAACTTGGATTATAATTCCGGGTACCAGCTGGGTATTGGTAAGAAATCCTAGTTGACTGGACCATGAGCTTCGCTGAGTACGACGTAGGATGGGCACCCTTAACGATTGGAAATGGTACCAGAAGCAGCTCACAGACGTCGTATCTCGGTCCTGAGTTCATCGACCGACCGAATCTGCATGTCTTGATTCGCGCCCGTGTTACCCGGATTCTCCAAAGCAAGAACAACAACGCATCGCCCTACCTACCCTCATTTATCGCCGTTGAGTTTACTCAGGATGCTGGAGGCAAATCATCATCCAAGGCATTGTGACTACTAGCTGACATGTGCTTCCTAGTAACCAAGCACGTCCTGGCACCTTCGGGTTTGAAAGAGATCATTCTCTCTGCCGGATCCATCGGCACACCGCATATACTCCTTCATTCTGGTATAGGTGATAGCGACCCTCCTTTCAGCTCTAGGAATTGCTTCCATTGTTCACCTCCCCGATGTTGGCAAGAACTTGTCGGACCATGTCCTATGGGACATCCCCTTTATCGCTACCGACCCCAATACGATCGACAACATTTATTACAGAAATACTACTTTCCAAGCGGAGGTTTTGGCCGAGTGGCAAGCCAATCGAACAGGCTTTTTGACAGCGGGTTCGGCAAACCAGTTAGCCTTCCTTCGTATCCCCGATACTGCCAAAGTTCTGAATGAAGAACCGTCCGCGGGGAATGAAACGGCGCATTACGAGCTGGCCTTTTTGGTGTGTTGAGTGTTTAATAAATCTTGCATAGGTTGAATCTGTGCTGTAGAACGGTCTTGTCAATGGTCCTACCAACGCCGGGAACTTCTTTGTAGTTGTATCCTCACTTCTTTGTCCTTTGTCGCGTGCGTGCTCAGTATAATACCCTTACTAATACTAATGATTATGTGAATATAGGCGGGGATGTTACCATCAACAGCTTGAACCCATTGGACCCACCTCTGATCGACCCGAATTATCTCTCACATCCACAAGACCTCGCTGTCATAAAGTATGCCATCGAGAGCGTGAAAAGGTTTGTCAATACCACGGCGTGGGAAGGATATATTCTCGAGATGGCGACGAATACCACCGATGATGATATCAAGAGTAGGGCATCAAGCGTATATCATCCGGTTGGCACTGCGAGTATGTCCCCGGTTGGTGCCGACTGGGGTGTGGTTAACCCGGATTTGACGATGAAGGGCGCGATGGGGGTGAGGATTGTGGATGCTTCGGTTTTGGTGGGCTTTTTTTTCGATTGGGTGTATTTCTGGCAGGCTGACGTTGCGTCTTAGCCGTTCGTGCCTGCAGGACATACTATGGCGCCGGTGTATGCCTTTGCGGAGAGGGCAGCGGATTTGATCAAAGCTAGCTCGACAAAAAACAGCGGAAAATAGAGATGTTGTTTGGCGCTTATCGTACACATTTTGTACTACTGTTATCTGCTTCTTTGGCTCACCACTTGTTCTGTCATTGAATACCGCCTCTCTTGACTCTGAGCCCTTACGTATTTGAGAGCTCTCAGCTCAATGTCTAGTACGGATGGATGCCGGAAAGACGTAAGTTATTCGTTAGACCTATTCAGACAGCTCTAGAATGCTACTGCGTGCAACACAGTTTTGCCAATACTAGTGGATTTGAAGTAACATTTGAACTCGAGGCTCTTTCCTTAGAGCCGTTTTAGGCTTCGAGGAAGGTATCCTAAATCTCCGACGCCGTCCTTTAGTAAATTAAGGTAACTAATAACGATCTTTCTTGTACGCACTGTGTTCTCAGGGTCTGGTACTGTCTCTGCAACAGGGATCACCCTTCAACTCGATGTTGGCATGCCGCTAGAGCTCGAAAGACAAGGTATCGCACACATTAATACGTGTGAGACCTAACCAAGTATCGACTGCAGCTCTTTTCTCCCCAACGCGCGTTTCCTGGCCACCCAGCGTTGATTCTATGGGGGAAAAAGGTTTCAAAGCCCCTTCGGGGCGACGTCAGATCTGTGCTAGGGAAGGATAAAAGGTATGTTACACCAATGTGTTCGACTTCATTGCGAAGGAGAAGCGGCTGAGTTGATACCATAGAAGAGTCCCTATGAAGGTCACGATGATTCTAGAATGACAACATATTATCTGTATGCAGAATGATATTTATCGGATTTGATCGTACAGGGTCGTGAATTAGAATACAAGGAAGGAATATACAGACATCAACATACTGAGAGCATCGCATATAGTGACTCGAAAAGTCTGTGCAAGATAACAACAATAACAACAAAAAACAGCGAAAGCAGGTCGAAATCAAGCGAGAACATTAATAATCTTGAACATCTTCTGGCATTCCATCTCTTCTACGGCTCTCGAATTCCCAAAGTTCCTCCTGGACTCCCCGGGAGGAAAATATTGCGATCGTCCGAAATCTATGAGACGGAAGCGTCGATCTTCTTTCTTCCGGAAGATTGGCCAATCAGTCATGTCGCCGTGCTGCATGAGGATGTTCCTTGGGAAGAACGAATTGTGCAGCCACCCCTCGCAATGCATGCGGAAGAGCAAAGAAGCGCATTCGTGTCTGAAACGGATACTGTTAGCCCGGATGTCCCAGAAGGAAGAAACAAACGTACCGGTCATCCAGGTCCAGCTCGTCGACGTTGACAGGTGCGCCGCAATCTTCCAGGAGCATAATTGGACTGAGGTATTCCCCCTCTTTCGCTTCACCCTCCTCCGGAACATAATAGCCGTAAAACTGGGGTACGACCGCAAGCGCAGGCGTAGGATCGTGAAGGGGATCAATAACATTATACCCGCTCCAGTGCTGGAAGAAATGCTCGGGGAATTTTTGGTAGTTCCTCGCCTCGCGTTCGAGATGGCCGTCGTTCTGAACAGAAAGTTTGGCTCCGACGCTGACTTTGAACGTTGTCGGGGCTTGGTTACGTATCTCTTCGTGCTGGCAGAAATTCCCGGGAGTTGTCCACTTGACGTCAACAAGGACCCGACGGGAGGGACCTTCATAACACGTACGGGAATCTTGACCGCCCTCAGTGATGATGGTCTTCCGTGGTTCACCCGTGCCATCGACAATCTCCAGTTCCTCGCCAGGCCTCATCCTTTCCTCGATCCACATCTTTCCCTGCCTCCCGTGCTTCGTAGCGATAGCTATCATCAGGTCCTCGATCTGCATATCAAGAGGCTGCGTCTCGTCGATCTTGGCTTCGGGTTCTTCCTCTCTGAGCTTTTTGAAGAGCGCCTCCTGGATGCATGTTTCGCAGAGGGACGGTTTCATTACCAGGCTGCATGGAATCTCCCACGCGACACGATAGACATACGAGTGGTGGCCTTCGCCAAGGTGGTCGTGAGAATTGATGTACAGGTGAGCTTCGGAAGTAGAAAGAGGTGTAGGTGGGGCGCGGGGGAACACTGCGAAAGTCGCTTCAATGACTGGACCCTCCTTCACTTTGCCAGTCCTTATTTCCTCGGAAGCGGTGGTATAAATGCGAGCTTCCCTGGGTTTGTCTTTAGCAGCCGCAGTGAGCCTTGCTCGTTCCTTGGTAATGGCGTCCTGAGTCTCCTGGGTGAGATGAAGCTTGTAGGTGCGGGGAATAGAGCGTTCTTCCGCGGGTCGACAGTTATCAGGATGTACGTGCAGAGTATCGTCCGGATCATGAACGATTAATTTCTCGGGAAGTAAATGAAGTGGAAGATGGTTTTGGAATTGAACGTAGCGCTGGGGCGGAAATTCTGCCTCCTTCCTAGGAAAAACTTATGAGTTTACTTACAAGAGGGAGATCTTCTAACGTACGATTTTAAACTTTTCATCGAACCCTTTTTGTATGAAAGGTGGTCGATGGTCATCATCCCTGAGTATCAGTGCCATATCACATGGGAATAGCTCCTCAGGTTCCGCCTCCTGCTCAGCCCAGGCGATCTCGTCTTTCGCATGCTCAAGCTCTCCAATCTCTTTCATCCATGCACAGAGCTTGCTCCCAGTAGAGATCGTCGATAGATATGGACAATCTGGCATACGCATCGTGCGGAAAAAATCCAGTACAGTGGCACCCCACAAAGGCTGGTTATTGCCTGCGAATTTACCGGGAGGTGTCGATTTCATGACGGGGCCCTTGGGATCTCGAGGCCAGTCTCGAAGAATGGCACGCTTCCGGACATTCTGAATAGCTGAGCTTGGAGCTTTGGGAAGGTCCTTCTGCTCCGAGTCCTTCTGTTTCTGTCGACTATTGTGATCCTTCACAATTGCTTCTGCAAATTTTGCCTTTGAGAACATGCCTCGAAAACCGGTTTCGAGATCATCAGCGAACATTACGGGCAAGTACCATAGAGCAATGGTAAGAGTGAACAGAGGCAAGGAAGTGGCGAGCACTGCAAATCCAATGGTAGGGAGTACGGATATGTGAATGGAACAATGGTAGAGTGGGTGGCAACTCACGAAACTTCGAAAAGGGGGTCGAAAACGCGAACTGTCACAAGCATTGTCGGGATCACGTGTATTCCGTCACCAATAGCAACGTGTCACGAATCTAATACGAGACCACGAAAGATTGTGCTATAAGAGTCAAGACGGTATATAGGCGAAACTGCACTTCGAATCCCAGATTTACTGTTGTTCCCAAGAACGATCTTAACCCGAATCAAGGCACAACTCAACTCCGTCCTTAAACTGATGTCTGAGAAGAGGCTTCAGTTTTCAGGCATTCTGTATCGGAAGACTGTCCTACTCACTCGTGATTTTGGGTCACCAAAGTACTTTCGACCGTTCTTCTGCAAGTCATAAGACGGGAACGCAAAACGTCAGCGCAGAATCAGATTTGGCATGAATACAATGTCATCGCAAAACACTGCCAAGCATCAGCGGTAAAGAATGGCAGAAATCCAGAAAGTCAATTTGTGTATTAAGAGTATCACACGTCCGCTTCTTTACTTTACTTCTCGGCATGGATAGCGAACGAAGAAGGAAGGAGATCCAACAGAAGGCTGAAGAAATTCTACCGCGCCACCATTTCAGACTCGGATCCCAACAGGGTCTGGAAAATAGCGAATGAATTGGGATCTTCGAAGGATTGGCAATGATCACATAAGTGTTGTCGTGAGCACGCCTCCTCACAGCGATCAGTGGAAACAGGATGATGGAGATGAACCAGGTCGTTGAGAAGTGTTCGAGATGGATGTAACTGCACTGGCAGCCTGGCGGCGTATGGCCTACGCGCTGTGCATCTGGTAAGGCACCGAATATCGCCAAGGAGGAAAGTGAAAAGGCCCCAAAATGCGGCAGATCATCCAATACATCAGTGTTAGCAGAATCTCTGAGGACGCTGTTTATAGTCAATGGATGATGCACAATGGGGAGTACTATTGAGCTAGTTCCTGTATTCCATGCCAGCGGTTCGGGTGTCGCGGGTTTAGAAGTGCGAAGTTCTCAAATGAACAAGAAATCTTCCGGCACGTTGTGCGGAGAGGTGAGAATCCGGTTTAATGAGGAAGCTAGCCAATCGGGTGCAATTGGCGTCGGGAAGACGGCTGCGCTAAATCGGCATGTCGATAAGCGTAGAGTAGGGACCGAGAATAAGGAACTCTTGGCACTGCTTTCAGGTGTACATATACCTTGACCCTTCTGTCTGGATGAAAACAGTAAATTGTGGCAGGGAGGGAAAAGAGGAAGCCTAAGAATATCAAGGCACTGATGATAGCGTCAAGGGGTTAGGTTTCGAATTCAAGGGTTCAAATCAAACTTCATCGATATCTGTGAAGATGTATGTTTCATTAATAAAGCGTGATGCAGCATGGATAGCTAAAGACCCACAAGGCTTACTGAAACCAAAAGATCCGAACATCTGAAAGCATATTTAAAGCCGATTCCTGAGCTTGGTCCAACTGAACAGCTGCCGTGATTCGCAGTTGCACTCACAAGCGCCTCGGTTCGTTCCTGATTCAAGGGCAAGAACATTAAGATGTCGTGCGTACAAACCGGAAGATCTGGTGGCTGAGATTCGATGTTAAAAAGGCGCAACAGTCGCGTAGGATATCAGGCGACATGCGAGATTTCTTCGCGGAAGCACGGACGTAACACATTCTTAGTCGAAGGGAAGTTGCCATAGTTGTCGACCGAGACAAAATCGAGACCTACGAAGCCTAGCAACGCGAGGCACCATGCCGTCTATGCGAAGAGACGCCACCCCCGATGAGCGGCGTGGAAAACTATATTGAAGTCCGATATAACATCAATACAAACTGCAACCAGTGGAAAGAACACACCTCTGTCAAAGTTCCATCCTGACATCGTGGGCCACGGAGAGGCCTATGGCAGGCGACTGATTCGAACCAGTCATGATACGAGGAGAACAAGTGAATTAGAGATAAAATCTTTTGGACTACAGAAAATACATACGTCATTCCTTCAACGATAAAGCCGACAGATCTCCCTGTTCAGTGTTCAAGATGTCTAAACAGAAGCCCGTGTGTTATCCACAAGTTGTCGACGAATTTTCGCCAGTTCTTGCCCCGAAATAGCTGCTTACTACGAGTGAGCTAGTCATGGCTGGTCGGTTACTCAGATGAGCGCGCCGCGTTAAATTAATTCCTTCGCATTCTGAGTCAGGACGATGATGCCCTACGTCTAGCCGTGGACAGAAAGCCGGGGCCGGAAAGAGGTATGGACGAAATCAAGTGGTACAAGAAGATTGTACAGACCTGACCGCTTGATCCTCGTGGAAAGCATGACAATGAGAATCGCATTTTGGCCAAGTTGCTGAGATATCAGATCGTCGCTTCACGCTTAGTCGACAATGACGACGATTCGTCCTGTGGATCATAATCAGGGCACGAAGGGATCATGCGGCAAGACATACAAATTGTGGTGATACAGAGGAAGATCTTCAGAGTTCGGCTAGGATGAATATCGTCATTGCTACGGTCTATGACATAAAGACGAACATAGCTTAGATGATATGTGAAAGGAAAGCGGTCTCAGGGATATTCGGTGAGAGTCCGCGGGAGATCCGACAAGAAGCAAGGAAAAAAAGCTCGGTCATAGTAGTGGAGTCAGCGGGTCGTGTATAGCAATGAGGATAATGAGATGCGGCGCCCATCACTTGGACTGCTTGACTATCCCGCCAGCCAGCGTCCCTAAACCAGCGCCACTTGAGACGACAAAAGATCTCGCCTTGTCCAGAAGCCCTGTTGTCGAAGAGGCCGCAGCACGCAGAGTCTTGGATGCTAGACACACCAACGAGCTCAAAGCCCGCCCAACCATACGAGATCTTTCTTCTCCTGGGAGATATAGCTGCGAATTGTCGGCGAGGAACAGTCACCGTGATTGGCCCCAATCATGGTTCAAGTCGGCTAATGCTGCCAGACTGTGGAGCTGATGACAGTGCTAAGGGAATGCCCGAGAGACAGCGTCCCGAAAATGGTGATACGGCGGTGCTGCGCTGCCGCAGAGCGCGTACCATGTGGCTTGTCTTATCACGAGTCTTGTCCTTTTCTATACGGCCACGAATTTGCTTGCCGCATGCTCCTCCAACTGTGGTAAACTGCATGATCAGTTTTACAGAATTTGTGGATGATCGACCTTTCGCGGGACACAAAAAAAACACTTCGATAAAAATGAGGAACTACTGCCATTGTAAGCGTCTCTGGAAACGATGGTCAGTGTCGTGCCCGGTAACGTGCAAGTAGCTCACCTGTACCAATGAAATGCACCATAAATAATGGACAATTGCCGAGATATCATCATACACGCTTTCCGGTGTGAAAACGGCCGTGGTTATGAATTCAGCACGAAGAAAAATCGAGGCAAAGAAGCTGTCTTCTTCTAGACAGATGTCGTGGAAGATACGCGCGACCAAAAATAGTCGCCAGGACGCTCTGGAAAGTTCATCGGCCATGCAGACTAGCTGCTCGAGCTCCATCAAGGTAACATGGCGAACGGGAGTCTGCGACGGCACAGGCCGAAATGCTTAACCTCAATATGAAAGCGAGGTTTCCTGGTCAACGTAAAATGTGAGCAGGAATCATGAAATGATACAGAGAAATGCTAACAAATGGGGACTAGCAGATGCGGCAGGCCGCTACAGTTCATCTAGGGGCAATGTGAATCTCCTTATGTCTGCAGACCGCTTCCCTACCAACGGACATCATGGAGTTGAGCATTCTGGGCAATTGCATAGCGTCGATATCCCAAGTCTGGTCTGTATTCTTCCACGATGCGTCGCAGGACTGTCGTGGATCAAGCCGAAGAACGAACGGTCCCAGGATTTTCGAAGGTAGTGAAGGCCTGCGGAACTGGCTCATTTGGTTCGGTTTGAGAGAACAAGACCAAGACTGTGGGCTTCTATTTGCATCGATACATGACTGTTTACATTCTCAAATGAATACCCCATTGTCGGTTGTTATAATCGCAAGCTGAGAAGGTCATCAATATCCTGCCAAAAACAAAGAAGTGTATTGACCCATGGAACTGTTACCGATATTATATTGTTCCTTGAGGATAGTCGTCGCCACGTCTGCGAAACGTGGCGAGCTTTCTTTTGAGAAGCGACCGGATGCAGTGAAGGACCGTCGCTCCATGATGAGCTCTGCGCCGACTTGCGCTATCGATACTACTTCGTCACGAATGTCCAGGAGGTTGCCAAAACATCGATCATCACTAATGTGACGGCATTGTGAGCAAGAAGTTGTACATCGTTATTTATGACTCACTATGCGATTCCCCAAGCACATTAAGAAACAGTTCATTGCGTAGCACTACCGTTATCACATTGGCAAATGACTGGTGGTCGTTGGAAATGAGAAAATGGCGGCGGCAGATGCTCAGCATCATACTGACAATCGAGTCAGGTCATTGGTGCATGAATGCGACATGCATCTGATTCCGTGGCTTCGTAAAGGCAGCGCTTGTTCAATGGTGTTTCGTGATGGGGAGAACACTTCATCCGCAAGGAAGTTTCATGAAAAATGGAGTAGTGACCCGCCCTTTACAAGCGAAATGAGAAGTTTTACTGGCGTTTACATCTTCTGTCGAACGAGGTAATACTCGTGAAGAGCAGAACACGCGTCCCGTATGTTTTGCAGAGCGTTCAATACGCTGTGCGAGTTCCACCGGCACAATCCATTGCCATTGATGAGATTTTCAGAAGACAGTGTTTGGAGTGGGAACGGACGGAACTCCTCGCGTTTTCTTTCTAAGCGAAAGAAGAACACACATCCCCTGCTGTGTTTAGGGTTAATGATCACGCCTATCACCGGAATCGTCTCGTCAAGCTCAAACAGGAGACGATTCGTCTACACTTTCCCCAGTCTTCCGTACGAAATTTATCCACGACGGCGGGAAACGAGGCTTAGCTCCAATTCCATCCTTCCCCTCCTGTCATCTCGAAGCGAGTCCAACAGAAGTCTCTCGTATATGTTAAGATCCTGCCGCCTCGAGGCGATGTCCAAGACGCGACTGACGCCTTGTCGTCTTAAGCGACATATCGTCTGACTCATGAGTTCGGAGGAGCTTGGAAACGAAGACAGTAGTTCGTTGACGCCCGCTCTACCTGCGTGCTCTCGGAGACAAGATACCGGTACACGAGAAATGGGAGTTTGGTTCTGTGGGGCGCTCAGTAAAGCGTATGACCGAGGAGCATCAACGTGGACAGCATAGTGCAAATAAAGGTCGGAGACTCCGAAACTACGGTTGCTTGGCGAGTACTGTTTTTGTATCGTTGCGGTGCTGATGGACTGTGCCAGAGTAATCTGATGCGATACTGCAAACTGGGGACAGAACGACCGAAGGCGGCCAGAGAACTGGGGAAATCTACAAGAAAGGATTTAGTCAACATTATTTTCAGTAATTATTCAACAGGCTCACCTTATTAGAGAAGCGAGCATGGGGGTTGCTGTTATAAACCCTGGCCTTCACCGGCGGAAGAATGGTTGAATGATGAACCATCTCCCTGGTTGTAACTAGAAAGTAGCGGGAATGAATATGGGCCCCGCGAGAGATAAAGCCACGAACCAATACACGCCAAACATGAGCGCTTCATGGCCATCTTGAAGAAAATGAGGACATTATCATGATCATTCCAGAGGTCCAAAGTAGGGTAAACGGAATCGGTGCAGTGATCCCTGACGAGGCAGGCGCCGAGGGTAAACAAAATGATTCTAGTCGTTGAACACGACAACCTTCTGCGAGGAACGTCTCGATACTCTCAAAGAAGACATCTAGATACGCCTGTAAGAATACTCGTCACATCAAGGCTGGAGTATATGCGCCTGTACATCGCTGTGAGCCCAGGAGAGCCCGAGGAATAGTGACTAGTCACACATACATAGTACCACTCTCCAATCATTCTGGGCTGAGCTCAGCGTGCACCACGACGGTACTGGTTCACCGCAGTGTATTGACCTCAAGGACCTCCGACTTACGGTGGCTGGCCGCAGCACCGATTTCGTATGAATGTGGCACCGATGAACAGTGTCTAAAGATGCTCTGATACGACGTTGCGATCTGGAGACACAATTGCGGAATGCGGAAAACATTGAGCCAAAGCCTGCAAAGAAGGAGTCAGTTGACATGACTTCTAGCAGATGTTCGATTGGCTCACTTCATGAGAGAAGCAAGCATGACAGGGCTACCGGTATGAACCCCTGGGTTTCACTGGCGGAAGAACGAACTGTCGCCTCGGGTGTAACCAGTGGAAATCTATAGCGGGAATGAATATTGGTTCAGTAAGTGGTGAAGCTTGAAACCAAGTACCGATTGACACCAGACAACCGTCTCGATGGATAAATGGCGCTAGTCTTTGGTACGACAATTCTTTTCCGACAAACGCCTCAACGCTCTCAAGGAATACACCTAGACACGCCCGGAAGCATAATCGTTACTTCAAGAGCTGGAATCTCTCATCCTGCATCCGTGCATCCCTGTGAGCACGAGAGAGCTTGACAAATGGTCACACATACCTAGTATACTGTATTACTTTCCAACATTTTGAGCTGAGCCCTGCGTACACGCGACGGTAACGGCAGTATATTGATTATTGACCTCAAGGGTCTCTTCCTTAGCGGTAATCGGCTGCACCTGAGGTAAGCGAAACGAAGACATGAATAACGGTGAGTACGCACAGTGTACTCTGCTGTCTCAAGAATGCAATACACTTGCTGATTTTTTGTTTCTGTTGGTACCAGATATCCAATCACGCTACACCGGCCATCTGTACGAAGTCAAGATCGAGAGAGACGCGTTTGAAATGCCTTTTCATTGAGCTCGATGACCGGAGAAGAAATGTCTTCCAAGTTCCAGGAAATAGAGTAGTTAATCGGAGTAACTGCCATAGACATGCTAAGATATATCCAAGCTGGAGAATTTCGAGAGGCTTAGCATTCGTCCTTTTTTGCGTATTTTAAGAGGTTTGTTCAAATCGCATTCGGCCCCAGTCGCAATTTGAATAAAAGGGCATTTTTCTGAATCCTGCAGTGTATTGGCCCGGTGCTGTATTCTTTGCGAAAGTGAGCGAGACAAGTATAGAAGGAAACAATAAGATACCCAGGATACAATCCCGTATGGCGAGGGTATAGAGAGGACACTGGGAAGAAGAGTGTAGAAGACAAGTCGCGAGTCAGAGGGTTAGGGTTACAACGGTCACGCGATGAATTGGAAATTACGCCTTCCTCACGGACCGGAATAGCCAGTGCCGAAGGTGCCGGTACCACAATTCAAGGTCCGCATCCGTACGGGCCTATCGGCATCATAGTTGACGTTCATCACCGTCATCAGAATCTAGCCAACGACGAACTGTAGGTGCACTAATCTCGTCATTCTTGTTGTAGATTCACTCAATCCTAGGCAATTTGTAGAAACTATATATCAGGTGTATTTCTATGGCAGCAGTGGGCGAAGTAGCATGCATGAGCTATGTTTTACCTCAAATATGCTACGGAGACATAGTGATTGAATGATTGAATGGAAGGTGTTATGTGAGTAATTCTTCCTTGTTTCGACGCGTTTACATATTCAACTAGGTCAAAGTCAATCTGACCATCACCGGGTGCAGTTGGGAAGTTTTCACCATTCAGGATCCTGTGCAAGCGAGAACCAGGCCTACTAGGGCTAAGGAACGGAACGAGACTACGATAATTTCGGGGAGTGAGTGCCAAATGATGCAGCGTAGTACTTTGACCAGGATGATAATTCAGGTCAGTGCATTTTTCTTGATCATCTATACATCCTGACAGGTATTCTAGTGCGAGGAGAAGCGCCCAGTAGTGACGCTTGAGAGGGAATATCGATAATGATAGAATAATACGATGGTGGAATGTTAGACGGAAAAAATGCCAGCAGTACGTAACTTTCAATTGTGATGAAGTTAACGCTCATCTGTCTGTCCAACAAGGTAGTCCTGTACCCCTTCCCACGCTTTTCACGAATACTGGTTCTCTTCTTCCGCAACTGACGGCTTGCTTGTTCTCTCTGCCATCAATGCGGAACGGCGCTTCCCGCCTGCGCCCCTTCAGCAAGTGCCGGCTCCACCACTCCGCCCAGCAGCACTTTATTTTCGTCTCCATACATGGACGCGTCGCTGGGCGTACTGAACAGCACTTCGTGATCATCCCCGGCCGATTCCCAGCGCCCCACCCTAACCTTCAGCTTTTGGATCTTCAATACCAACAGAGTGGTAAGGATAAGCATACCGATGGCGAAGAATACTGCCACGGTAGCGAGACTGCGCGCAACGGGGTCATGGCACTGTATGATGGTCGGCTGCACATATGCTCCTGGGTTTGGACGAGTGGTTGCCATCGGTAGGGGGGAGACGCTTGGCATGTCAAGAGTTTTTTCAATGGTGGTAGCAGCCTGTGTGATCATCGCAACAGGGGAAACGCTCTGAGAGAATGCTGCGCTCATATTGCAGTGGGGTAAAGTGAGTGTGGGTGCTGTTCTGAAGTCCTTAAATTCTGATGGTGGCGTTTTTGTAGTTTGATCAAACCGGTGCAAGCGGTCCGTTTTACCAAGTATATCATTCCGCACCTGGGCGCCTCCCGGTGCCTCTTTTTGATACAATTCAGATATTTTCTGCTTTTGTCGCGCTTGGCTCACGTTCTCCATCCCATATTGGCCCGGTATCCGCAAGCGGCGGAGAATCAAATCCATTCCAGTCCCAACAAACGGAAGTCTTCTCACTGGCCTCGAACAAAGATACAGCGTCTTTCTTTCATGCTCACGAATTCTTCCCTGCTTCGGGTCTCAACAACCAATTCTACCCACCCACGAAAAGGTAACGCTTGTCATGCAATTGACGAAGCACTTGTTTTAACATGTTTCAGAACCAACATCTCCCCATTCATCAGCATGCCTGACTTCTTGGTCCGCGGGTACCTATCTACGCTCTAGATTTTCACCAGCAAGATCTTCCCGAAAAAATTTCTATTTGTGTAGGTCGAAGGCCAAGCTTTCTTGGGTCAAATTGTCGTTGTCGTTGAATTGGGATATCTCCTTCTGCTTCTTTCAATGGTACCAACTGTTTACCACAGCGAGATAGTTTGTATCAGCAGGTGTTGTTGCATCCTCAAGTACTTCCCGCATCTTTATTTCTCTAGCGGCAGGCTAACAGGTCCTTAGATAGGGTAAACTCTTCAGCACGTATTCGTCTGGCGCTAACAAGATCAAAATGACAAGATTTGGATGACGTGGTGTTGCGATTGCAATACCAACTTTGCACGACTCTCATTTTATCGGATTAGGCTGTCATCATGCTCGCCCCTCCGGGGTAGCGCTGTGTGACTGGGCGCTTGGCGCACTGGTGATTCATGATATACAGGGAAAGCAGACCAATGTCTGTACGGGAAAGACGCGGAGGCCTTTTGACTACCTCACGTTGGATGAAGTGAATAGCAGTAAAAACCTGGAGGGATGCCGACGTACCCCTTCCAGAGAGGACAGACAACCCTAACCCTAGTTTTCTTAGGGTTAAGGGTCGCCCACTCTCAACGTCGTCATCGCCCTTTCATGGGCTAGCATTCACGCAAAAATCACATCAGTGTCGGTAAGTCCTTTGCCTTTTTCTGTCTATCGTAGCTGATGCATGCTTATAGGGCATATGATCGAAGTCTTCAGCTGAACGGATATCCCAGCCCTACCACCCCCACCGTCCATTGTACGCAACACGCCGAGTCTCATAACCTGCATCTTTCTCTTCGCACAAGTCCCTACCGCTGAACCACTTCTCTCTGCATACTTCGGTGTCTTTTCAGAGGCACGTCGTCTTGGTCTTCGAGGAGCGGCAATGTGCAGTGGGGATGCCTAGAGCATGCCATAGAACATTCGCGATGGGAACCGATGCCTCACCTCTTAGCTGTAGAGACAGCGGATGCATAGCAGCCGTTGACGGAAGAGGCGGATTCGTCGTTGTGTCGTTCATGCTACCATTATAATCAACAACTCGGACGCTCGCCAGGCGCTATGGCGGGTCGAATACCATCATCGTCCCTCCACCGTTCGGTCGTAACGGTGAATGTACGACTTCCGGTGTATCACTTTCTGTTTGAGATCGCAGGGGGACATGACGATAGCAGAGTTGAAGAAGAACAGGTAGCAGGAGATCGCGTGATCTGCTGTTGTGTAGGCTTCGTATGCAACGCATCAGGGCAGCGAACAGTGACAGCTGTGCGTCTTCACAGACAGGAACAATGAGAGATCCCTTCCGATCGACGTGGTTGCCAGTGTTAGATGCAATTTAGGCACACACTGCGTTGTCATCTCCGCCACCATCGTCTTCGCGTGGTGGTGAGTTCTCCTCTTATCCATGACGGAATAAAAGGCTTACAGACGAACAGAAGATTTGGTTGGCTGGAATGATAAGGAGTGGGAGGCGCTGAAGCATGGTTCGAGGGAGAGTAGCGAAGGCCTGGGGAAGGACGGGGTTTGTATATCTTCTCTCCTAACGTTGAATGTCAACCTTATCTTACGTTTCTCAGGGTTAGGGTCTTGTGAATCAAGCTTGGTCGGAAGCGCATACATATGCCCTTCAAGAAGCTCCTGCCTGCAATTCTGCGAAGGATCATGTCCGCTCGTTCGTGTCAGCCGTCATCGGTGGGCAGTTCTGCTACATGCTATGCCTCGCAGTTGTATATACAAATGTGCTGTTGTTCAGCATCCCAAAATGCTCTTCAGAACGGTGCGCTAGGGAGGACAAGATGTCGTTTTGAACCCCCCGAGTCGCCAGGGTTCAGCGAACCGTACGCAATATCTCATGGAGGAAAAATGTATTTTATCTGTCAATTCAAGATTTCAAGTTGTCGATGTACAGCTGCGCTGACTCAAACCCAATACTCTCCATGAAAAGTCTCAGGTGGTGATGACCAAATCAGGGAATTTCAAATGTCGCCTCACGTCCATTTACGGACGACTTTCTCGTTTGCTTTCGACCACAACCATCTCACTCTCTGTCCTCTCTACACCATGGTCAATCTTTCTGAACTCGTAGTGGACTTTGAGGTGAATCCGCATGATGAGTGTCCTGAAGTACTGCAGACCATCAGCATGGAGGTCGTGCAGCCTGGCAACTCAGGCGGTCGGATAGCTTCTCTGGACGGGTTCATCATCTCTCGAGGACGCTGTGGCGATGGTTTTCACTCAATTCTGGACGAAGAAAGTGATGAGCTGCACCGGTTCTCTGTAGCTCTGTTCGATAAGTACGGCAAGGTCAAGTCTCACATTGTCTCAGAGGGATTTCGGAGTGGTACTCGCTGCTGGGGGAGGGAACTCAATGTTGGAAAGATTATTTATGTGGTCGATGTTACCGTGCACAAGGTGAGAGACTTTCAAGATCTTTTGATAGGTATTCACTGAGAACTTGTGCAGGATCGACGACAAGGAATTGGATCGTTCGTCCTTCAGAAGCTATTCGAGTCTGAGTACGTGCAAGACGAAGACATCGTCATATCCTGGCCGGTATCGAGAGATGCTTCGAATGACATCCTGGTTGCCTTTTTCCGTAAAGTAAGTTTTCAAATTACATCTTTCGCATAGCATATATGCTGATAATATTGCAGAACGGCTTTCGCCGGATTGGACGTACAAATTTCTTAGGCTACTCTCCCAATCCAAACCACCCATCTCATCGTATTCTACCCGGGAACGACGTCGAGTCTTTGGAAGACAAGTTTCCAGAAAGCCCCTCTATCCCTTCCAACGAACTGATAGCCCGCGGACTCGATGTCATTAATGAGGAGCGCTGGAAGAAGTATCCTCTCCACTATGCTATCGTCAACAAAGACATGCCCGATATCACTACGGTCATTCAGTCTTTCTACGACAAGGATCCTGCAAGTATTCACGTACCAGATGACCGAGGTTTTCTCCCCGTTTTCGTTGCTGCGCGTGCACAAAATGTTCACGCTCTCAACAAGCTCATCGAACTCGGCGTCGCTGAAGACCTGAACAATACCAACAATGCCGAAGGAGTCACTCCCCTAGAGAGCGTGCTGGATAGCATGCAATCAACCCGCGAATTCTGCGAGGCCATGCTCGGCACGTGGCCGGGTAATTCGGAAAAGGACATCAAAATCGTTCGCATACTGAAGACGGCGATGGAACTTCCTGAAGATAGTGATGGTCAGCTTCCGTTTGGCTGCACATGTGGACAGTGCTCCGGCGGCTGGCTCTCTCCTCGGATGCGATTTGCTTTGCAAGGTAGGATCAAGGGATATTTTCCAAGTTGATCGAAAACTGATATCTACCTCTAGTTCAGGCTGCCTTCTATATGGACACTCTACCGATGGACCTAAGCAGCTTCACGCGTGGCGAAGCGCTTGACGCCTCAGAAGAAATGATCGGATGCGGGACGACGGCTTATCTTCCACCGGCGCTTCAAAGAAACATGTTCAAGTCCTTCTACAGGGGGTTCACGACCATATTCGAGGTCATCTATAAGATCCTAAAGAACGACTCTCAAATTCCGAAGCTCCAGGATATTGAACGCGACGCGGTATTTGAGTGGGGTACTTCGTTTTACTTTTCCAAAGGTGGGAGGGTGGAGTATGCTCTGGATGCTGTCACAGCTATTGCAAAGGAGCAGTCAAACTTGGGTGACGGGACGTTCTATGAAACGTTTGGTGGGGATGAGGGCTTTGTTCGGCTTCCCGAGTGTGTGAATGATGAAGAGTTTGAGATGGTGAGAGTGATGCTAGGATTGGATCCGAGGAAGTGTTGGGGTCCGTTCTATTTGGACTAGGTCTCAATGTTTAACCTGTATAGTAGTGTCGATTGTAATTGCTAGCACAAGTATGCCCTCGGTTGGTGCGGATTGGGGATTGGTGGACTAGATTTAATGAGAGGAGTGATGGTTGTGGGTGTTTTCTTTTCAGGTCAATGTTTCCATGGTAGACTGACTATGCGCCTTAGCTGTCTGTTCCTGTATGCTCAGGTGCCGGTGTATGCCTTTGCGGAGAGAATGGCAGATTTGATCATCGTATTCCAATTCAGCTTAGTTTCACGCTTCCTTTGCTCTGATGCTCTTAACAAGCGTTTTCAGCATCATTATCATCAAGATCAATTTCTCTTCAACGACCTCTTTTGCTTCATCCTTTCTTACGCCTTCTAGGCGTTGAGATTGGGTGACTATGACGGTCAACATTGACCTTTTATTTGCTATAACTACCCAGTTAAGGCGATAGCCGCGTATCTGGGTGGCGCTTAACTGAGTACGCTCTTTCCATCCCTGAGACTCTCTGAGAGCCACGGCCGCAACACTGAGTTCAGAAATTCTATGCCCTAGAACGAAGGATGATCCACTGAACCCACGAGATCTTCCCTGTGTTGTTACACATAATTGCGAAAGGCTACGATTGGATGAAAGCTTTTCAACAGCCCTGCTTTCGAAACCACATTCGCCGACCGATATTAATATCATGAGAGAATCAACAGCACTTCAAGCCTGGATTCAATGCTACTGGGCCTCGTGACCAGCTCGCTTCGCACGTGGCTACACTATTTCACCTTCGCAAAAGTGAAATAGTGTAGCCACGTGCGAAGCGAGCTGGTCAGTGGTCGCATTTACAGCATTGATGTGTCATTACTTCTATGCCAGCGTCATTCTCTGGCCTCTGATTGGCTGGACTTCTCATTAGCTGGTGCGTCGTATATATTATCGTCGAACGGACTCTCGTTGAGGCCCATGTTCTAAGAACTTTGGGCGGTGCAGCTTACCCAAGGTATCTCGGAGCAAGTACTACTTAAGAGAAATGATGTTGAACACAACCCTTCCCATTTTCAATGGCTCGCTTCAAGTTGGAAGATTTTGATATTCAAATCCTTTTGTTTCTTGCCTCCATTCTCAACCAGAGCACAGTAATCTCCGTATTTCTTCTTCTCACCCTTGTGGTCCGCATCCTCGTATGGCCTTTGTTGCCACCCTTGATGCCGACCGCACGTCTTGTGGAGCTCAAATCAGTACTGAAGACGATCTACCCACTACTCGAAATGCAAAGCCCGTTATCTAATAATTCACGTATCCACCTTAATGAGTAACTATCCTAGCTTGGCTTTGTGGCGCTGACATTCACCCGATGATCAGGTTCGAGCGGGAGGTCCTTGCATTGTTAAGGGTGCGCTTGAATGTACAACGGCGATTAATTCTCGGCGGGTACTCCTGGAAGGAATATTTTCTTGATATGTGGAATATCTGGCATGGGGCTCAAGCCTGTCGAAAAAGGATCGATGTGTTTCGGGTTGAATTGGAGGTGAGGGTTCTAAAATTCCTGGATCGATTACTGGGCTGGATGACGATTATTGAGTCAGATCGGTATTGTAGAAGACTGGGAGGTTAGGCATGAGGATATTCTGCGCCATTATGGAATGAATGAGGTAACGAGGTCAACCACAGTTTCCCTACAATTCCGTGATCCCTACCGTGCCGTGTAACACTACCTGTCTACATACCAATATTTATTATTGACCATGGAGGCTGACCGGTTTATGAAATCCTTGCGTCGTAAACAACTGTTTCTGAAAGGGCATAGATAGATTACACACGAAGATAATCTGGAATAGCATGCAAGACTTGACAAAAAATAGGGCATTTCGAGAGCAATGCTAGTGCACTAGATGTGCTATGTTTGTTGTTGGGGAAAGGGAGACGACTTCTTTCTTAACAATGTCACATGAACTTGAAATAAGCCAGGCAGATATATGCTAGCACAGAGTCAAGCTTAAATTCGGGGGTGAGGATAAGACAGGGAAATGTACCAATGAAATGAACATGAAGTAAACAAACGAACTAGATGCGAACAAAAGATTAAGAAACGAGTCGCAACCCAGACTCGTACTGAACACACACTCTTGGACTGCTCGAAAGGGCTGAACTTCCAGTGTGCGGTGTACTACGAGTTCGAGCTCTAAAGAGGGGGATTGTGGAGCAAATTCCACGTCGGTGAAATAAAATACAGCTTCTAATGATATGAAGGAGTGGGATGAACCGAGTTGGTACTCGCAAAACAGCTTGAGCGTCTGACTGTACATATTCTCCCTAAAAATTTCCCCCAGTAATCTGGCCATGACGTGAGGAATACTAAAGATAGATGGAAGGAAGTAAGCACCCACACGAGAGTAGGGATGCGCACCGTACCGTATACGGTATACGGCCATAAGGCCATTGTCCCAGACGGTCACGGAACTATCCGTATACTGTGCCGTATGGTCAGTTTCAATGCCTTGTCGGCATCGGTACGGGTACCTTACGGCCGTCTACGGTCGTTGACGACCGTGCACCTGAGTATGGAATTAATTTGCTCATAAAGAAATCAGTCAGATGCCTTTAAGACTGCCAAAAACTGTACAACACATCTGAGTTTAACCTAGTCTTGTAATCAACTATGCCGCGTTGAGCAGGACTAGACATGCCCAAGACCTAAAGGAAAGTCACACTTATTGTCTTGAATGTGTACGAAATTTTGATAAGACAGCTAAAAGAATGAAGTTAGTAAAGCCACGGAATTGAATGATGACTATTTTGTGTCATAAATTTACCCTAAAAAGACTCTTAGCTGAATCAAAAGCAAGATTAAAAAATAAGCCGTATTACGACGTTGTACGGCCGTCTGTAAGAGCTCTCGACGGTAACGGAACAGCCGTACACCGTGCCGTACAAATGGTCAATGTGGTCCTTTCGGCTTCGGTCCGTATAACGGTTACCGAAAACCGTACAATACGGCGACGGCGCGTATCCCCACACGAGAGGGCTGATTTAGAGAAACTTTGAATCTCGCGGACGAGCTAGTTAATTTGAGGTGAACCTGTAAGCTTAGCTTGAACTAGATAGTGTATGTAGGGTGGTAAAAGTGCGAGTGGTCTCTGACAATGGATATGCGATTGAATATATGTGTATGATGGAGTTCAGGTATCCCGGCTAATTCCGGCCTGCAAAGAAACTCGCCCAAACCCTAACCCCAGTTTTCTTTCTGCCACTTAGCTTGCGGTATTTCATTAACTTATGCTCGCTGTCTCTTCCCTAGGGCCCTCATTTTATTCTCTCCTTTGCCTTGAATGGTAAATCCTTCGTTTCCCCACGATTCTAGTAATTCAAGCTTGCCAGTGAGTCCTTGCTCTTTGCTACCACCACCATTGTTGCCTATTCTCCAGCTTCGCTCTGTCTACGCCTACAGCAGCATATGAAACAACACATACCTCTTGCTAAAATATACCACTGTGATACGGTGCTGAATGATTGATTGAACAGATAGCAGCGCCGCCGCAACTGGTAGGCTGTGAGCAATTCTTTCTCGTTTCGACATATTTACAATATCTCATCATTCAATAAGATCACTTGCCACGGTGAAATGCTCGCCATACGGGATTCGATGTGCGCGGTAACCTTGACCAAGGCTAATAAATGGGACTGGGCTTACGGGGAACCTATGTCAAGAATCATGGGAAATAACAACTTAGGTCAGGCATTTTTCTTGGGCATGTACGTATCTGACAAGGTTTTTAGTGCAAGAACAAGTGCCCAGTGTGGACATTTGGGACGGAATATCGATAATGAAGAAGTCGGTAGATATGCAGGTATGCAACTTCCAATAAGTACTGTGGTGAAATCAGCGCTCATGTCTATCCGGTATGACAGCACCGTACCATAGCGCATGCTATGTCCGCAAGCCGGTTTCTTTCTCTCTCAGCCGATAGCTTCAATTTCAAAGCATCGTCCTCCTGAACGTTACTCCCCGCCTGCACCTCTTCAGCAAGTGCCGGTCCACCACACCACCTAGCAGCGCTTTATTATCATCCTCATACATAGCCACGTCGTTAGGTGATCCCAATGGTACCTCGTGGTCATCCCCCGCCATTTCCCAGCGCGTCACCTGAGCCTTCAGCTTTTGGATCCTCGATACCTCTACCAGTAGGACGATAATGACAAGTAAATCAACGACTACGGTGGGGAGACTACGCGCAACGCGGTCGTAGTATTTTACGATTGGTCGGCCGCGCATATTCCCCTGTGTTTGGACGAATAGTCGCCATTGGTAGAGGGAGATGAAACATGGTGGTCCTAACCCTCGGTGAGAGGAAATCGTATGGGGAAATACTGCGGCCATGTCGTAGTAGAGCAAAGTGAATAGTGGGCGTTGTTATGAAATACTCGAGTTCTAATGGCCGCGATTGTGTAGCGAGCTCGAGTTGCCTTCCGGATGCGCTCTGAGATGCCCGTTCTTATGATGTACAAGGTCGAGGGCGAACTACCGAAAGCATCATCGCGTATGTAATGTCGGTGGATGTGGACTGGGATATCAGGATCTGATGCTGTCCAATACCGAGGCGAGACGAGTGTTGCGTAAGTACTTCTTGTCTGAGTCTTCTTTTGCGGCAAGCTAATGAGTATCCAGAATCTTCAGTACGCCCTAAAACGACACGATTAAAACGACATTGTCCTGCGATTGAAATAATGAAACTCCTCTTACTGTGTTAGGCCGTCGTTATGCTCTCTCCTCGGGATGGCTGCGATGCAGCAGGCCGCTTTATACTGTGGTGACTGATGGTCGGGGGACGAAGACCAATGCTTGCATAGCTGACACGTAAAAACCTTTTCCCTGTCTCACGCTGGACGAAGTGCATCGCAACTGCACAACAAGAACTCGTCGGCAATAGGCGTGTTTAGGCATGCCAGCAATGTTGGGACCGCCGACGTCCAATCGGGTGCTTGGAGATGCAACCCTAACCCTTCTTTTCCTCGAGTTAAGGGTCGTCCGATTCACCGGCCGAACAATACTACTCTCGACAAGCTAGGATTCAAACACGAAATCACGTCAGCTTCAGCTCTTCCAAAGGTAGCCCTTCGTCTTTGTCGGTAGACCTCGGCTGATACATGTTGTAGGGTGTAGTGTCGAATGCTCAGCTAAATACGTAAATATCCCGACCACAGCGCCAATCAGTTCTCGAGCGTTACTTTCATTTGCATGGTGTACCATGAACCACGTTCCTTCCCAAATACACCAGGCTCTCGTTCTTCACCTGCCCACTTGCGCATTCCTGCTTTTCGAGGAAGAGTAGTGTCCTCAACAGAACACGCCATGGAAGCAAGCAACGGAAGAGACGGGTTGGTTTCCGCCCTCATAACCAAGAAGTCGTACATCTGTCAAACTCTGGGCGAAGTCGAAAGTCGAGCTCTGTCATCACCTCGATCGTAACAGTGGATGTACCACTGTCAGGCTACCACTTTCCGTTCGAGATGTTTCGCATCGTGAACCTCGAATGAATCAGATAGCAGTTCTACGGTAGATAGCTCTCATGGTGTATCCCGTAATCAGAATCAGACCTCATGAGTTCTGAAAAGCGAGTCTATTCTCGAATGAAGTTAACGGTGCACTACTAACCTACACCCGGAATGCGATAAATAGCAATATACAATCATACAACAAGATAAATAACAAACAAATAAATAATTCCTTCATCAAAAGATTCGTAAAATGACCTAAATAGACGCCCAGAAAATACAAAGAAACCCAGAAAAGCGCTATGACAATGGCGCCAAACAAACCTTCCATGCCCCTGGCTCATCCGTAGCCTCGATCCCGACGAACCTAGTATACCCCAACAAGAAGTCAACTCTCCTAACACCCTTCCTTCTCTCCTCATCCCCCATCCCTTCTACCCGGTTCGCAAACGCCCTCATTACGCCCATCCCTCCTACAGCCTTCAGCTCCTCCTCCGTCACCCTTGTGCGTAGCGCGGTATATAGCGCTACAACCACATCGCTGACCGAACTGGGGGAAATATGAATCCGCCATGGGAGGTATTTGGAAACCAGAATCATGCCTCCGGGAAGGGGAGGAGAGGTAGCAGGATCGTCAGAGAGCTCAGGGATGTACGGCGAAATGTCCTTTGACAAGTCGATGCCGAGGTGAGGCGGGCGGAGGAATTCATGTAGTTCAACGGTGATTGGCTCAAAGTCTTCCTCTACTGACGGGAGGCTGACAGAGTTCCGGAGACCATCGGGCGTTGGCGGTGGGTGGAATGAGGACGACAACGACTGTGAGGAAGGAGAAGATATGGAATTTGGGAACGAAGAGAAGCTCGGCAAAGATGGTAATGGGGATTGATAAAACTCGGGAGACGGGGTATCATTCACCGACCGAGAATGATAATACATGTTGGGTAACTCCTGGCTCACCAACGGGTTTCCAAATAGCCTCTGAGACGACCGAGTTGCGATTGGTGAAGGCGCCTGGTCCGAATCATACGAGTACGTGTCATTGGGCGAATCCGCGAAACGAACTGTCTTCGTAGTGGGCATCTTGGAAGAGATGTGGCGGGGCATTGTGGAGCCGTTCATCGAGAAACGTGGTCTTCTTTTATACCCCGCCACTTTCTCTATGTTGAAAGGGCGGTTCCGATATAGCCTATTAGCAATGCTTAACAGGACGTCATTCCACAGCTTGTGTCCGGCGCAACACAGCCTTGTATGACCCAGTTGAGATGATGGCGCTTCGATGCGCACCGCGCCCCTGGCGTAATGTAATAATGTAGGGATGTTCCCTTGACGACGGAGAGCTTGTACCTTGAACAGTCCTAATGTGCCGTGGTACCTGTAACACCATCTTAGCTTCTATCTAGGTTTGAGAATACGTAGCTATACCACACACCAATGCATAAAAGCCTCATCACCAGATTCTATGGCCCTGGCGGGATACACCAAGTTTCTTTTGTTGATGCCCAAGCTTTCCAACAACGGACGATCCTGACAATCGGGGCTATGCCCGTAAATCATATGCCGATTCACCAACCCTGGGTATATTATCAGTGATCGTGTCGTTTTCAGTCATTCAGATCTTTACCGTAGGTAGTAATGGATACAGAAAGAGTCATCACGACGATTACTGATAGCAATGCGGTACAGTAACACGGGGCAGGGCACCTGTTCATTCTATACAAGCACTACAACAGCGTCATCAATAAATAGTTCGTCAGGGGGTTGTGAAGCGCCTACGATAGGCACTGTCGAAAGCGATGAGGCGCAAGTCGCCGTATCAATCTGGAAGTTCCAATTCCTCATATGTCTGTATAGAAGACGACAAACAGCAGCGGCCGTCACCGGGCATCCGAGCATTCTCGGACCATAGTCTAGTGTTCGAATGACCTCAAACTATCGGAGGATCAGATAGCTTTCATGATGACGCCGTCCTGTTCGAACTGTGCCTTTGTTGTAAGCGCCCATCAGGTTTCCCAGGACATCTTGGTGAAAGTATACAGACGGGATAGGCTGACAATCTCCTTCGTCCTCTATTAGTCGCGAAGAAAGGATACATGATTGCTGAAGACTGGGTGACAGGAAAGGTTAGATCAAAAACGCTGAAATGGAAAACACTCACGGCATACATATAACGTGCTGTTAGCAGGGACTCGGCATGCTAGTCATCGCATCAGACTCTTAGAATACACCTTGATTCATCGGCAAAGCAAAAAAAGTGCGAAGTGAAGAACAAAACGTGGGACTTTCGGAAGTCGGGAGCTCGGGTAGTCGTCCCAAACGATTTGTTGGTGATCAAACATTGATCGCCCATACCAACAACACTTAAGGCTTGGGATTAATGGAACAATGGGGTAACAAGATGTCTAGAGCGTCGCAATGTCTGTGACGTAAACTTGACAATTTATCGGAGTGACTGCGAGAATCGTATTAGCATTAGTGTCATGATAGACAGAGTTATAAACGAATTTTTTTCGGTCTAAACATTCACAGACGAGAGCTTCTGTGGTTAAAGTTACGAATTCGACTTGGATTCTCTGTCCGAGGTTCGCAGCTTTGTTAATCGAGCAAAGAGCGTGCTCAGAATACCGCTGATCATGAGAAATACCTGTGGTAAGCCAGTAAACTTTCAAAAAAACGACAAATACGCACCAGTGCCAAGACTAACAGAACGGTGAAGTTCCACTTCTGTCTGTCGGTGCAAGTCTCCTCATCCTTCTCGTGCTACTGCCCAATGTTGCGATTTGAGTGGTGTATGCCTTCGGATACGCGCATATTGAGGGCAGGGAGTCGCTCCCCGGGGAAACCTTCTGTTATGTCTTTTCCTTCCAACAAGAGTTGGTGAAATAGAAATGACGGCTTTATCGACTTGCACTGATGTAGCCACATTTGTTTTCAGTGGTTTCAAGAAAACGCAAAGGAACCTACCTAGGACAGTATATTGAATACGCGTCGCTAATGATGGACATCTAACTCTGTGACAGAAGCGAATCGATACCTGCCAGAATGTGGGTAAGATAAGAGAAAGAATAAGACAAAAGCGCACCTGCAACATGCGAATCAATTGTTGATCCAATCAAACCAATCCGTTCTTCATGGATATTCCCCAAAGCGCTGATTCTGTGCAAGGATGTGCTACACTTCGTCATGACCTGAATATATGCTCTTCATCAGGAAAGGCCAAAACAATTCAAATATGACAGGGATACATATCGGCAAGATCATGGCAAGTCCTGCATCAACTAGGTCACGCCAGAGTTCCAGAATATAAACACATATCCGTCGTATCTAGGGCTTTCCCAGAAGTGTTTGCCCTGGCGCATCATCTTGGGTCCGGCAAACGCTTGATCTGAAAACTCGGGGCGACAGCAAGGCTTTGTCGTTGACGAGGATATCCTAGACCATCTTCATGCATAACACAAGGATCCAAGGCCACCGATATCTGCGAAGATGTCCTGTGTATCACATTTCCTGCACTAAAAATCAGGCCTGAAGGGCAGCGCAAACGGACCCAAAGTACGAGACCTCGTAGCTATCATTTTCGCTAGTGAACTCTGGAATAGCGTAAGGGCCACATTGTACAGGAGACGAGGTCACGAAAAAGCCGACAGAAATGAAATTTGGTGTCACGGTCGTGGAAGTAGGAGGAAGGCCGCGTTATTTGGTTGAGCTTGGCTGAGATGTCAACAAACATCCAGCCACCGACGTGCTAAGTAGTACTACGGACGTCCATCACAGCAGATACAGACAAAACAACTACCTTCCCTCTACTACCAGTATCGATGCTACATCTTACCATTATCTTCAGATGGCGTGAATCTGGCTCTCCACCTTGAGGCGGACCAGTACCTCAGCGATATGCCGTTCCGTCCTTTTGACGGGGCCTCTTGGTAGATGGCGCTGATCGATGAGTGCTTGTTTTACTGGGCGGATGATGGCGCAAAGTCTTGGGGGATGCATGGGCAGAGGATCATGGTGGTGACTAATGGTGCGAAATCCTTTTCTTCCTTTCCCTTTGTTTCAGTCTATGTGTTGTTTGCCATTGCAGGCGTCATAGATCGCGTGTGATCTTCCTGTCTGTTGGCAGATTAGCCATCTTTCTTCCACAAAAACTATCATAACTGATACTATTAGGTATGCTTGTTACCTTGTCATACTCCTCGGAATTTCATGCAGTACAATTTAGCGATTTGAACAAGAACGTCGAAGAATCAGCGACACGATAGGCGAGGGAAAGTAGGAAGCAAAGTACGCCTGCGTATCACTCTGGTGACGCTTTACTCACCTCGAATCGATAGTCCAAAAAGCTCCTACATATCCTGTCGACCGCTAATCAACATGGCTCCACCCTCTCCTTGAAGCAGGAAGAGCAAATTACAAACGCATATTAACAAGCATGCAGTTCGCTTCGGGGGGGCTTCTCCTCGCCTGCGCAACGTACCCGTTCACTTCCTCACGCGCACCGCCCGAGTCATCCCTTCCTCCCGACTCCAACACGGACTGGGCAGTCAAACGAGGATTCTCTTTCATCTGCTATCGTGATAAGGGCGATATCACAATTCCCACCGCCATTCGCTGACACTATTAAAAGCGTCGCACGGTACGGCCGTTCTCATTGCTGCAAAGCAACGCTAGAGATGGAGTCTTGCTCGATCTACATACTTATTGGGCAGCAGATCCTTCATTTTCGATGACCATACCTCTGCAGCGGCAGCACATTATCAATAGCCGATACGGCTCCTCTCATTGTTGATACCTTTATCTTTTCTTCGTCTTTCAAGCTACCCAAGCCCACCTTCGACGCCCGCTCATAACACGGAGCCGGTAAATTATACGCTCAGAACAATGGCGAAGAGAAATGTCCATCCTCCGAGAGTGCAGCGATCACACACCGTGCTTGTGTCTCTCGCCCTACCTGGCGGCGTGCTTACCTCCATCAGCGTGTCCACACGTTTCCACCTGAGTCTTCTCCAATTTCGGCTCGTTTGAATGGATCGCCACATCTTTGCCTAAACATCCTCCGTGTACCTTCTTCTAACTCCTGACTTCGACCGTGTCGCTCTGACCCAATGCACTCTCTTTCTCGCAGGGAGATATTGTACCATGAGAGCATTGCATATCGTTCAGCCTTACCTTCTGGAGAGGAACTCGCGGATTTGGTACCGTCTGAAGGGATGCCCGCACACACTTTTGCTTCTCTCCCAGTTGCGTGTCTATCCGGTGAAGGGCTGCAATACATAGCCACCTAGTGGAGCGCACTATCACGAGAAAATAGTGTTTCATTATTTTTAGGGAGGCGAACGAAGGTCGCCGTGGGGGGAAAAATGAGAGCAGGAGAGGGGAGCGACGGGACGGTCCTGTCGTGTTCTCTGCCCTATCATCACCGGAGAAACATCAGTCAGCGACTCAACCGAAGATCGGATGAAAAGAGGTAGTCTGGACTTCTTGTTACGAAGGCGCGTTTATTATACTTTACGGTTCACACTTCCCATTGATCTTCTTTTTATTTCCTTGTCCGTTTTACCGAATTTGTAAAGGATACATACATTCTGGATGAACAACCTGAACGTAATATCTTCTGACAGACAAAGACTCGTCTATAAGGTTTCGCGCGACACCCTAACGGTTTCCTTAAGAATCCCAGAAAATCCCTCTCTCACTGGCAATCATAACCGAGGTCAGCATGGTCTCGGCTAAACAAACATCAGCCGATTTCTGAGGCGAGGTTGTCGAGATGTAGGCTCGTGACCAGCCATCCATCGCCACGTGGCTGCGCTTGTCACTTTGGCGAAGCGGCTGGTCCAATTGGTTACGAATTTGGCAGGACCTGCCAAAGATGAGTGCGCACTTAGGATTTCGTCGTCGTATAAGCATGAAAAAAAGTGTCAAAATTGATATAATGAAAAAATGATATTTTTTGATTTCAAGTCGATTGAGACCAACATGTTTTTCTGAAGAAAATGAAAAAATTCTAAGTCTTTCATGTTGAGTGCACCAAAATGGGGTATAAGTGATGTCGTTTGCCTCTCGATATTCCGCCTGTGCTTGTCAGGTATCTGGCAAAGCTCGGTACTGTGCAAACTTCTCATCCTGCACCCAAGAAGACCCCCGCATTGAGGAAGGGGGGGATTTTTCCATGTTGAGGTCGTCAAACTTAGAATTGTTTCATTTTCTTCAGAAAAACATGTTGGTCTCAATCGACTTGAAATCGAAAAATATCATTTTTTCATTATATCAATTTTGACACTTTTTTTCATGATTATACGACGACGAAATCCTAAGTGCGCACTCACCTTTAGCAGGTCCTGCCAAATTCGTAACGTATCGGACCAGTCCTTCGTAGGCTCATGTCCCTTGATCTCGTGACGTGAGCCGAAGATGGAAACTGGTTGCGAGTCTAGTCGAGATGTATGGCCTCGAGAAGGGAGTGCACGTGACACGTCCGTGGCAAAAGGACACGAGAAGCCAAAGAACATGCCGTAGGATCAGAGATACGGTCAGTGGATTTGTCAGTCACCTTGTCCAGTAGCTCTGGAGGCGGAGAGGACATGCCATGTTTAGTAAGTGAATTGAACAACTGACGAACTCGTAATATGTTCTGACAGATGGAGACTTCATAGTTATCACTGCAGAGAATCCTTTCACATGTCAACACGTATCTTGAACCACGACGACGACGACGACTGCTCAAACGTTTATCAGCAATGGCGAAACAACTGACTTTTTCCCAAATAGCAACACTTGCCCTCGCAGTTTGCCACTTCGGTAAGTAATCGTATCGATTCGACCTCAAATTTCGCTGATATCTCTTGGATTCAGCAATACATTTCTCATGGCGTCTTTGCACTTCATTTTTAACAAGCGAACGTAACAAGACCTGGAAGCAAATCTGCACTTCGGTGATCATGACCACCCTTGTGAGATATCGCAAAGCGCTACCTATGCCAGAGTCCCTCACCAACTACACCACCTGGACGGCAGCGACTGGTCTGGAAGCCAACGTCGAAGAGCTATGTAATGGTGCTAAGCTCTTATGGGTCGGACCAAAACGCGTGGATAAAGTGATGTTGTGGTGCCACGGTGAGTCACTCTCGTCTTACCTCATACATCCAAGAGCAAGTAATAATCGAACAATTACAGGAGGCGGGTACACGATCGGCGTTGGTCCGGAAACATTCTCTTGGCTCCGATACATACAATTAGAGCTCAAGAAGCGTGACATCGACCTCGGTATCGCTATCGTCGCATACAGTGCGTATAATTGTCTTAACAAATCCACCCACATGTTAATCTCGCTACCTCAGATCTTCTTCCCAAAGCCGTCTTCCCGAGCCAGCTCCGTGAAGCAACCGATGGCTTCAACCACCTCGTAGCAGCGGGTGTCCGTCCCGAGAACATAATCCTCGGAGGTGACTCCGCAGGAGGGAACCTCGCGCTGCAGCTTCTCTCCCACATTCTCTACCCCCTACCCTCCGCCCAGCCAACGTTAAAGACCATGGCACATATCGGTGGTTTGATCCTTCTTTCTCCTTTCGTGGGAATTAAGAAGACCTTGGAAGTGCCCTCGTCACAGCTAGAAGCCCTATACGAGCGTGATTTCATACCGTCTGAATTCCACCGCGAGGTTTGTCGAACATTTCTCAAGGACGTTCCAGAGGGCGAGATCGCGTACGCAGATGGTTTAGAGGCTCCCGAGGAGTGGTTCAAGCCGTCAGACGAGCTTGTTGGTCGGATCCTCATCATGGCGGGCGAATGGGATTATTCGAAAGAAAGTTGTCGACGGTTTTATGAGAAGCGTCTGAAGCCGTTCCATCGAGATGTTGAGTTTGTGGTGGAGAAGGACGGCGAGCATATTGCACCGATACTTGACTTTATTCTGAAGGAAGAGAAGTTAAGCGTGTTGACACCATTGATGGTCGAGTGGCTGGTGGATACCTTCAAGGCTGCTCGTTAACAAGTTTGATAAATAAATAATGGACAATGACATATGATATTGGCTCAAAGCAATCAACGTCAACACTATCGTTCTTTAGAATTGCGAGGCTGTATAAACTTGGCCACAATTTAGCCGTATTCTATTATTATAAAATGTCCTGCCCTTTTCCCGTCCATTACACGTAGTTAATATTATCGCCTTCACCACTGGCCGCTATGGCCTTAATTTCAATCTCAAGACCCCCTGCCTTGCAATCCTTCAAGACCCGGATTCCCTCGTCTGACAGCCTCTTGAACTTCGCACCGGGAGTAATTGCCTTTACAACCACCTTCGATAATTGGGTCCGCTCGGATAACGCATCCCGGCGCACTTTCGTCATGGCCACAGAGGTGTCATCCACGAAACCAAGCTCTTCATCGAGTCGCTTACTTATCGTCACCTCCAGGACGCTCAGCATTGGAAGGAAATTGAACTGCGGAGAGCCCTGATTATCACATTCGTTATCGCGTCGTCGACCTCGGTCTCGGAAATGGAGAGATGAAAAACGTAGCCTTCGGACTTGTGGCTGGCCCGGTCGAGTGCCTCACTGAGGATGGATGAATAGTCTCTCTTCATCATCTCACCGAGCTGGGGAGTATGGATGCTCATGCTATTCCAGATAACTTGTTTGCTCCGCTTCAGCCATATTCTCGACTTCGTCTTTGAGTTCAGCAAAGCAGCGTAAAAGTTCCAGATATTCATTTAGCTGAGGGACGGTCACAAATGGCTCGGGGAGGAGACGACGACCAATGGATATCTTGAACGGCAGGTTGGAGGTTGGCTGCTGCGTAGTCATACTCTTCTGAATCCGAGGAAGAGATAAGGCCTTCTCATCGGCTCTTTGGACACGATGAGGCATAGGTGTAGTGTTTGTCGGTTAGCGTCAAATGAAATGAGAAAACTGATGAATATCGAGCAGACGGAGGTGGTGAACTAGTGGCTGCGAATAAACTGCGGCATCTTCCGGCACACCAAAATGGGATGTTAGCTTAGCATGGCCGGTCTCGGCTAAACAAGCTTCCGATTTCTGAGGCGAGATGTAAGTATGGCTTCGAGAAGGGTGGTACACGTGACACGTCCGTGGCAAAAGGACACGAGAAGTCAAAGAATATGCCGTAGGATTAGAGATACAGTCGAAGGATTTGTCAGTCACCTTGTCCAGTAGCTCTGGAGGCGGAGGGGGACATGCCGTGTTTACTAAGTGAGCCTTGGTTGTTGATCCCTTGCATCTGGCGAATCTGCTGCGCCTACCAGATGGGTGACGGGTATATATATATCCGGATGAACGACTAACGAACTCGTAATATGTTCTGACAGATGAAGACTCCTTATATACTTAATCTGCAGAGAATTTTTTTTACATGCCAACAGGTATCTTGAAGCACGACTTGAACGACGATTCTATGTCGTTTTTCAAACGCGTTTCAGCAATGGCGAAACAACTGACCTTTTCCCAAATAGCAGCACTTTTCCTCGCAGTGTGCAGCTTCGGTAAGGAATCGTATCGATCCGACCTCACATTTCGCTGACATATCTTATATCCAGCAATACATTTCCCATGGCGTCTTTGCAACTCATTTTTTACACGCGAACGCAACAAAACCTGGAAGCAAATCTGCACTTCGGTGATCATGACCACCCTTGCGAGATATCGCAAAACGCTACCTATGCCAGAGTCCCTCACCAGCTACACTGCTTGGACGACGGCGACTGGCCTAGAAGCCAACGTCGAAGAACTGTGTGATGGTGCTAAGCTCTTATGGGTCGGACCAAAACGCGTGGATAAAGTGATGTTGTGGTGCCACGGTGAGTCACTCACTCTCGTCTTACCTCATGCTTCCAAGAGCAAGTAATAACTGAAAATTTACAGGAGGCGGATACATGCTCAGCGTTGGTCCGAATTCATTCTCTTGGTTGCGATACATACAATTAGAGCTCAAGAAGCGTGACATCGACCTCGGTATCGCTATCGTCGCATACAGTGCGCATAATTATCTTAACAAATCCACCCGCATGTTGACTCCGGTACCTCAGATCTCCTTCCCAAATTCGTCTTCCCGAGTCAGCTCCGTGAAGCAACCGACGGCTTCAACCACCTCATAGCAGCGGGTGTTCGTCCCGAAAACATAATCCTCGGAGGCGACTCCACAGGAGGGAACCTCGCACTTCAGCTTCTCTCCCACATTCTCTACCCCCTTCCCTCCGTCCAGCCAACGCTAAAGACCGTGGCGCATCTCGGTGGTTTGATCCTTCTTTCTCCTTTGGTGGGAGCCAAGAGGACATTGGAAATGTCCTCATCACAGCTAGAAGCCCTACACGAGCGCGATTTCCTACCGGCGGAATTCCACCGTGAAGTTTGTCGAACGTTTCTCAAGGATGTTCCAGAGGGTGAGACCGCGTACGCAGATGGTTTGGAGGCTCCCGAGGAGTGGTTCAAGCCGTCAGACGAGCTTGTTGGTCGGATCCTCATCATGGCGGGCGAATGGGATTTTTTGAAAGAGAGTTCTCGACGGTTTTATGAGAACCGTCTGAAGCCGCTCCATCGGGATGTTAAGTTTGTCGTGGAGAAGGACGGCGAGCATATTGCACCGATACTTGACTTTATTCTGAAGGAAGAGAAGTTAAGCGTGTTGACACCATTGATGGTCGAGTGGCTGGCGGATACCTTCCAGGCTGCCCGTCGACAAGTTTGATAGATAAATCATGATAGACAATGACATATAATGTAGCGGATGTACATGTGACATGTCCGTGGCAAAAGGACACGAGAAGCCAAAGAAGATGCCGTATGATCAGAGAGAGGGTCAAAGGATTTATCAGTCACCTTGTCTATTAGCTCTGGAGTTTCAGCAAGTGGATTATACCATACCTCGATTGTCTGGTCTATTGGTCGCTTGCATCACGCGACTCTGAAGTTGCGCAGGAACGGGTATATTCCGGATGAACAACTGATGAACTCGTGATATGTTCTGACAGACAGAGACTTCTTCATATATTTATTACTGCGATGTCAACAGGTATCTTGAACAGCAACAACAACAACCACGACGACGGATTATGTCTTTCGAACGCGTTTCAGCAATGGCGAAACAGCTGTCCCTTTCCCAGATAGCAACACTTTTCCTTGCAGTGTGCAGCTTCGGTAAGTAATCGTATCGATTCGACCTCAAATTTGCTGACATCTCTCTTAAATCTAGCAATACATTTCCCATGGCGTCTTTGCACCTCATTTTTTACACGCGAACGCAACAAAACCTGGAAGCAAATCTGCATCTCGGTGATCATGACCACCTTTGTGAGATATCGCAAAACGCTACCTATGCCAGAATCCCTCACCAACTACACCACCTGGACGGCAGCGACTGGCCTGGAAGCCAATGTCGAAGAGCTGTGTAATGGCGCTAAGCTCTTATGGGTCGGACCAAAACGCGTGGATAAAGTGATGTTGTGGTGCCACGGTGAGTCAATCACTCTCGTCTTGCCTCATACTTCCAAGAGCAAGTAATAATTGGAAATTTGCAGGAGGTGGATACATGCTCAGCGTTGGTCCGAATGCATTCTCTTGGTTGCGATACATACAATTAGAGCTCAAGAAGCGTGACATTGACCTCGGTATCGCTATCGTCGCATACAGTGCGCATAATCATCTCAACACATCCCCCCACATGTTGACTCCGGTACCTCAGATCTCCTTCCCAGAGCTGTCTTCCCAAGCCAGCTCCGTGAAGCAACCGACGGCTTCAACCACCTCATAGCAGCGGGTGTCCGTCCCGAGAACATAATCCTCGGGGGAGACTCCACAGGAGGGAACCTCGCACTGCAGCTTCTCTCCCACATTCTCTACCCCCTTCCCTCCGTCCAGCCAACGCCAAAGACCGTGGCGCATCTCGGTGGTTTGCTCCTTCTTTCTCCTTTTGTTGGAGCTAAGAGGACCTTGGAAATGCCTTCATCACAGCTGGAAGCCCTACACGAGCGCGATTTCCTACCGGCGGAATTCCATCGTGAAGTTTGCCAAACATTTCTCAAAGACGTTCCAGAGGGTGAGATCGCGTACGCAGATGGTTTAGAGGCTCCCGAGGAGTGGTTTAAGCCATCAGACGAGCTTATGGGTCGGATTCTCATCATGGCGGGCGAATGGGATTTCTTGAAAGAGAGTTGTCGACGGTTTTATGAGAACCGTCTGAAGCCGCTCCATCGGGATGTTAAGTTTGTCGTGGAGAAGGACGGTGAGCATGTTGCACCAATACATGACTTTATTCTGAAGGAAGAGAAGTTAAGTGTGTTGACACCATTGATGGTCGAGTGGCTGGCGGATACCTTCAAGGCTGCCCGTCGACAAGTTAGATAGATAAATCATAATAGACAATGGCATATGATATGGTTCAAAGAAATCAATGTCAACACTGTTGTTCTTTTCCGATACTATAAACTTGAGCACAATTTCGCTGTATTCTATTATAATAAGTAACATAAACTACTTCAAGCACCGATTTATATGATAATGCCCTTTTCTTGTCCATTACACGTAGTTAATATACTTGTCGCCTTGACCACTGGCCGCTGTAGCCTTAATTTCAATCTCAAGGCCGCCTGCCTTGCAATCCTTCAAAGCTCGAATTCCCTCGTCTGACAGCCTCTTGAACTTCGCACTGGGAGTAATCGCCTTTACAACCACCTTCGATAATCGGGCACGCTCGGATAACACATCCCGCCGCGCTTTTATCATGGCCACAAAGGCGTCATCCACGAAACCAAGCCCTTCGTTCATCGAATCGCTTATCGTCACCTCCAGAATGCTCAGCATTGGAAGGAAATTGAACTGCGGAGAGCCCTGGTTATCAGGCGTCGACTGTCCCATGCGCAAGATGACATCCTTGATAACATTGTCATTATCTTGGATCCAAAGGCCTAAGCTGAGCTGCAGCTGTACGAGTCGTGGGGTTATCTCGAGGATAGGAACGACAAACTCGTCGAGAAGCGCGTTCGTGATCTTCAAACGTCGTAACCGGCAGTGTGAATTCATGATGAAGGTATGTAAACCGGAGAGTGAATCCCGAGGGCATGTAAATGCTCCCGGACTAGGAGCGAGTCTGAAGGATCGGAGCGCCGGAAATTCCACGCTCTCCAAGAGCGCGGTTTCGCAGGCAGTGAATTCGCGTACCATGGGATGAACGATTCGCGGCTGCGCGGGTGGGATCATTCCGATTCCCTCTTTCCTGTAATTGGTATTGAATATGACGAGATGTGGGGCGGTTTCGACGATGCTGAGGAAATGGTCATGAGCATCTCGACGGCAGACTTGTCTGTCGTCAGTATACACGACCAACTTGGATGTTTGCAAGCGTATCAGTGGACCATCTCCAAATCCTTTCAGTACAACCTCGCTGAGGTTTGGAGCAGCGGATAAGAAATCAAACTCCCTGTCATGAGCCTGCGCCCAGATGTCTGCAAGGTAGATGTGACAGCACGTCAAAGTGTCCAGCTTGCCAGTGATGGCGGAGAGTGCTGGAAACATCGTCATCGGGATGGACAGTCGGGCGTCTTCCCAGCTGTGTGATCTCTGCAGAAGGAGGTCCAGGACCCCATTCGTCACCGCCTCGTCGGCATCGGTCTCGGAAACGAAGAGATGAAAAACGTAGCCTTCGGACTTGTGGCTGGCCCGGTCGAGTGCCGCGCTGAGGATGGATGAATAGTCTCTCTTCACCATCTCACCGAGCTGGGGAGTATGGATGCTCATGCTATTCCAGATGCTGGGGCAGAAATTGAGAGCAGCGACTCCCCATGTACGGCATACCTGGCTCAACGACCAGGGTTCTGTTGCTAGATTGAAGGTGTTATAGAACGAGGGATTGGTCTCGACCGCATAGAGAAAGATCTCTGTGAGGATCTCGAGGGGAACACGACGCGCAGGAGAAAGCACAGTATCATATTGGGATGATATTTCCTGGATTCGAGCACGCTCAGCTTCTAGCTTTGCAATGGCGACGTTGAGTTCGGCAAGCGAGGCGCGGACTTCAGCTCGACATGCATTGAGAGTGCGGGTATCCGAGGAAGACGGAAGATCGTTGTTCCGTAGAAGGGAAGACAGGAAAGGAGGTGAGGCGAACTCTTTATCGCAGTGGTAGATCACCATGCTCGAGTTGGACAAGACACGATTGGAGCATTGTTCGCACTGTGCCGGCATCTGGTATTAACTTTCAATAGGAAGAAGGCAGCTTAGAAAATGTCGCGACGTCCACAAGAAAAATATCCACTCACCACTACGACAGAAGCTAAAGAGAAAGACAAGGTGGATATTATAAGAAAAGAATGAGTGTGGTTATCTGGGAAGGTGAGAAGTATGTCGCTGAACTGGTAGTTAAAGATGGTGGTCGCAAAGAGAGTATTGGAAGATTCGGAATGGAAAGCTTCAGGGGGGCCTGCGCCGATATGGAAGTGATCGAAAGACTAGCCGTTAGCTCCTTTCACATTTAGATAGATAACCGGTCTAGATCCCAAAAAGGAACGCCGGGGCTCTGTGCCGACACGGAACGTGTCACACAGTCCCTCATGCCGCTGTGATATCCCAATATGTACCAGAAGGAAGACATCGCAGTGAGATAATTGCAGTGTAAGGACTTCACATCGGGGACATCACGGCACTTGTATAGAGCGTTGCTAGTGTAGCATCATGAACGATGCGGGGAGCAACAATAAGGACAGTATACTAGGGTGTGAAATACGGAGGTGTGCGATGTCTTCTTTCTGTGTACAGTGAAAAGGCTCAGCAGCTTTCAACGAGCAAAGAGGAAGAGATAGCGCCAAAGACGACAACGAAGATACGAAACCCGTCGACGAAGCATACAAACAACGAATGAAGAAATAGCGTCCAAAGACGACATCTAGCAGAAGGAGTAATTAATTGTGAGCGTGGCGAGTAGAAAGAAAGACCAGTAATGGACCGAGTTTCCGTTCGCCCCGCTCAACGGGGGGAGATGAGATTGAAAGTGTGTGAATCACAGTGATCACTGTCGCTCGCACACCCAGATTCAGGAAGAAAACACTCTCCGGCTATCATCATGAATTCGTCGATATGATCTGTCATCGACCACAGTTGTCTACGAGGGTCTCAGCACGCTGACTTGTAGACCTTTTGTGATTGGGGACAGCGAGCTCGGCCGTCTAAAAGAGAGATGCGAGGAGATGGGTATGATACCTGTATCGAGGTGTGTGAAGGGAATACTATTTTGGTTGTACTGTTAGTGGCAAGAAGTTCGTAATCCAAGAAAATCATGTCGAGTTATTCATATAGATGGGGTATCACGACTGGTCGACGCAGTCGCTAAAGCCTGTTAATAGACTGAGGGTTGGGTGTTACGCTGAATATGTACTGGCACTTGATGGAAATTTTCTCGATTGGGGTTCCCATGAACTGCAAGTGAATCGTGGACCTGAAATATGGGAACGGTTTTGGCATGGAAAGCGTCCTCGTAATCAATTGACTTGTTTTTCGTTGCCCTGCAGGATATGGATTTTAGCATGACACACTTTCGCCAGGATCTCAAAAGTTACTTACCTTCGCAATTCAGCTCGCCTGGCTATTGCCAGAGTGTACATTTTTGAGTGCTTCAATATAGCCCATCAATTTCATGTACTTTGCCGGGGACGACGAAACGCCTTTCCCTCGCGCACCCACGAATTCTTCCAGCTTCGCGTTTCCATCCAAGCCGGTCTGATATTCTGCCATATAGGCATTCAAGGTCTTGTCCTTCAATCCAGAGAGCTCCTTGCGTGGGAGAACACCGAGAAGTGTCTGTGCTCGTCCATTTGCTGTCAATTCCTCGGGGTGAACGAAATAGCGGTAAGGCTGGGATATGAAATCCACCCGGGGGTGGGTAAGAGATGCTGTGGTGCCAGGATGGGAGAGATCGAGGCCGATGCGAGGGGATTTATATATGTGGGGTGTGTGGTTTACGATTGGGATTGGGCAAAGGAACATGCACGTTTTTCTTTCACCAGCATATGCGCTTTTGAACGCGTTAATGTCGCTCTCCCAGAGATTCTCGACCAGGTCTGAGATCCTTTCTGCCCCGCTGAGATGTAGGATATGATCCACTAGAAGAGACGGACCAGAGATGACTGTTCCAGAACTCAAGTTACGGAGGGTGCGTAAAAGCACGCCGCCGTATGCTTGGTTCTCGTCAGGACGCGACCCTGAAGAAAAGTATGGTGATTTGGTAGGGGCGTTGCAGCTTATCGTGAGATCCAATCCCTTGCGCGTCCCGCCTCTATATCCAGAGGTGCTAATCAGAGTCTGCGTAGAATCGTCAGACCGTCTTGGAGTGCGGTGAAAATACCTGTACATCGTTTTGCTGGATCAGTTTTCGCGTAGGTAATGGCAGCAGAAAGAGGTTCCCTACCATTGACCTGCGGTTTTCTGCTCCTGGCTTCCGTGAGTAAACGGGTCACGATGGCAAGCTGAATTCCAGAAATAAAACTCCATCTCCATGATTTGAAGTTTGGTTTCTACGAAGTCTAACTCTCTGTCTGATCCCAGACGCGTCTGAACCACAATGAGAAAGTTGTGTAGTAGCGCAGAGCTAATATCACTGAAACGTTGTCGGATAGATGACGGCTCCTGAAGATGAGAGAAGTCAAGAAGACGCTGAAAGGCATGCAAGCTCTCCTCGTCAGAGTTGTTCTTTGCCTTCTTTGTTGGATTTGGAGGGTCTGATAATCCTGGAGACGTCTTCCTCTTGCATCTGCTCGTCATTATGATTTCGCTTCAACAGGCCAGGTGACGAACCGATACACAACTGAGGTAAGTATGCTCGTACGGCCGGGCCGAAAGACCGAAGTCAACAGTGCGTGCTGCCAAATAGAACCAAATACCTTCAAAATTCGGAATTTTTGGTCCGTGCTCACTCTTGGCAGCGAACGACGCTGTTGTATATTTCCTTTTGCTTCTTCCCCAGATTTCCTGCTAGTTAGCTGCGTAAAAATGCTGCCATTTTCTCTGTTGTGCCTTGGCGATTCCTATCAAGTACGTTATCACGGCTGTGAATCTTGCTTTTCATGATGTGCAGCCTCCAGCGGTAGCCGTAAAGCGTGCCATCAGACTGAGCACGGCAACTCTTGTGGAGTACTGGTGAGAAAAATCTATACCATGCTTGTTTTATTTACTCAATGTGCATATGTGCACTCTAGGGCCCGATATATGCGCATGTATTAGGGTATAAGGGTCATAGCCCGGAATGCACAGCATTCACAGTAACGCCGTGTTGGTACATGTGCATGCTCCGCTTTCGGAACTACCCTCGAAGAGCAGATATTCCAGGAGAGGATTGCAGATAATAACGACGCTAGCGCTGTTTATCGGCTGGTTGACGGAAGTTAGTGTTTGCGCCATTGCCTTCTCCCTCCGAACGCAAGCGTTACTCTACCATCTGGTGCCCGGGGCAGTTGCCACATCGACGACACGCGTGACGGAATGGGATAAACGGGCCTGATGCATGATACTCCGAGATACTTGTCAAAAGCGATGAAAAAACGTTGAACTCGACAGCAATTCCATTCGTAACGGCAGTGCTTTTTGTTTCGGAATATCCACTGATATTGCTTTTCCAGGCGTCGAGCAGACAAGTGATCCTTGAGACTTGAGATTGCCTTTCGGAAGAATTGAGCTCTTTAATTCGGGTACGTGGGTAGTTCGTTTTTCATTTTCTCAGATGTATGTTGTACTGATGTTAATCCGGCAGGTTAACATGGGTTAACAGCTCGATATGGTTTCACCTGGCATAGTCATTTGTCATGTGCATCGCTTTAGATGCCGTTAGACGCTTAACCTCAAATGGTAATAGGAGCAAATAATATAAACCTTTGACCATCTCTCCCACTCAATCTAATGGACGTCCCACCAACATATTCCGCACAACCGAGCCGTGGGGATGAAGCCGCCGTCGAGCCACCCTCATATGAACTACCTTATCCATTGCTTGTGGGCCGCCGTGCCGTTCAGACATCCTTTGTCAGCATATCTCAACTTAAGGGTCACCTATCCCTCTTGAAGCACTTTGCTTCCCTCAAGGAACGAGTCGAAGGGATGGACCGATCCAGATACGGAGACGCGCCTGAAGATAAGGAACGTAGGTGGTCATGGTTTGTTGGATTGGCTGTCGAGAGGTATGTTCCTTGATAACCGATAGACTTTCGAGAAACCAACCTTGTTCATTAGGTTCGAAAGGTGGTGCAAGGAGCTGACAGTTTACGACGCATTGGATTTCGCTGACCACCGGTTGCCTCCTGTTGATGTTATCATGGTGAGTAACGTATTTTGATATTTAAAACTTTGTTAATCTAAAGATTTATAGGTGTGGCATGCCTACTTATTAAATCCTGCGTATGTTGCACAACGTTTCTTCTGTGATGTAATGCTGATAGTATTCCAGGCGGTATTCTGAGGACTTCCTGCGAAACGAGCATATCAAGATACTTGCAGGTATGGGTGACTGGTTCCAGGCCCTGGTATGCTTCCTCGCATATATTTGCTCAGCCCTTGAGCTGATTGGGCGCATTAGGAGCGGACATGCTATACCATTGGCTCACCTCCATCGAACGCTCGAGCTCAGGACTGGCTGCAGAAGACCCATCTCCCCTACGATCCTTTCGAGTCGGCAATGGTGTTGACACAGCGAGAAATAGTGTGCCCTCAATGTCTCACGAAGACCAACGTTCGTGAGTAAGGTTTCCGGTTTTGATAACAATCTCTGAACGAGATCTAGGCCTGGCAAATTCTACCGGGAGCGGATATCTCCAGCAGGACTTCAAGGGCAACTGCTCGGGATGTTGGCTGACGATTACGAAAGAAAAATTGGCTTTCCATAAACTCGTGAAGGACTTGGTAGGGACCAATGCTGTCCTTGCGTACGTTCTGACTGTTACCTTTTTCTTTCTGCTGACTGATATCTTTCACTCTAGCGGAACTCTTCACACCTCTTATAATATAGACAATTCGCATCGTGCGAAGGTGATCAAGACCGGGATTTTGGAGTTAAGGCCGCGTGTCTTCCAGAAGGGAGATGCGAAAACCGAACAGGAATGGGCGGTCAACATACAGAAGCACATGGATTATAGTATGCAGAAGATTCAAACCGCTATGGCGCAGCGGATGAGAACATATGGAGGACACTTGTACGTCAGTATTTTTCATTGCTCTAGCTGTTCTAATATCAAAACGATAGGTTATCTCGGATCATGAGCTCATACGAAGACGATAAGATATTTTCATTGGATCTCGTAGGAGCAGTAGGTATATTCGTGACTGTTGTACGTTCGGAGCGCTCACATCATGAAGGTACTCCGACAAGGCTCCTTTGTCGACAAGATGCATAAGCTGGGTTGGACTGATCCAGAATTTTTTTCGTCATCCGAGGATGAAGTGGCCTTGAAGCACTGCATGGCTCGTTATCATGCGTAAGCAGAGCTTATCCTTTTGTACTTCTTCCTCAATGAAATTGGCACTTCAGATTCTTGGATCTCATGTCTTCGTCACCGGCTGGTTTCTTCGTCCCGACACTGGACATTGATCTAGTGTGGCATACCCACCAGCTCATGGCTCGACAGTACTCCAGCGACTGCCTCGAATATGTCTGTCGGTTCGTCGACCATGATGATAAGGTTGCTGAGAACAGACTTTCAAGAGCTTTCGACATCACTTGTCGGGCGTGGCAAGTACGACATTGACCACCTCCCCTTTCTCAGCCTTACTGACGCTTTTCAGGACCGTTTCGGGATCCCATATACGCACTGTGGGTGTCCACTCCCAGGTGATACGATTGGGCAGAAGATAAGCAGACTGGTATCGATACATAAGCAGTCAGGAACGCCGTCTCACCTTGTCCCACCTCGGGATCGCCGTGATCTTCTGGCAGCTACCCACCCGAGTGATCATAATGCTGTGTATTCGTTTCAGCACCAGGGGCAGGTCGATGCCATGAGACGGGCAAGGCTGGAGAAGCGGGAAAGGAGGATCAGACGAGAGGAAGGGAAGGGAATAAGTCGGAACAGGAGTGTTGGTCATGATCCAGCTTTTTTGGTGCCCGTGCCGTTGTATTATGGTGTAGGCTGTGTAGCGACAACGGGGCATGTAGTTGGTGGGGGTGGTGGTGTCGGGGGATGTGTGGCTGCTGTGGGTCGCTTTTCTATCATGATTTTGTTCTGCTTGGGACTCACTTTTTTGTTTCGAAGGGCGCTGGTGGTTGTGGAAGTGGTGGTGAGTTTGAACGTAGGCGAATGTTGAGTGACATCTAATTTGATTTTCGTCTAGGTGCTGGATGTGGTGGAGGAAGTAGCGCAGGTTGTGGTAGTAGTAGTGGTACTGGCTGTGGTGGAGGCGGAGGAGGCTGCGGTGGAGGTGGTGGGGGATGTGGAGGAGGAGGCGGAGGATGTGGTGGTGGCGGTGGTGGAAGTTAAATGTTCAGTGTCTGCCATTCGAAGTTATCGACTGAAAATGTTTTAAATATTTTTTTGGCCACCCACACACGATCGTTCTAAATAATATACGGTTGTATATTATTTAGAACGATCGTGTGTGGGTGGACAGTTGTAGAAAATATGTACGGATGCAATTTAGTGTAGTCTTAGAGCACCCTTAGCACCGCGTCATTTAGTTGCCCCCTGAACCCACCTGTGTAGCGACGACGGGGCATGTAGTTGGTGGAAGTGGTGGTGTGGGGGGATGTGTGGCTGCTGTGCGCCGTTTCTCTATCATGATTTTGCTTAATTGGGACTTACTTTTTGTTTCGAAGGGCGCTGGCGTGGAAGCGGTTGTGAGTTCGAACGTAGGTGAATGTTGAGTATCGTCTGATTTGATCTTCATCTAGGTGCCAGATGTGGTAGGGGAAGTAGCGCAGGTTGTGGTAGTGGTGGGACTGGCTGTGGTGGTGGTGGAGGCGGAGGATGTGGAGGAGACGGCGGCGGCGGAAATTAGACGTTCGATGTCTGCCATTGCATCGTTCTCATGAGGCCGAAGTTGTTGACTGAAAATGTTTCCAATATTTTTTTCGGCGTAATTTTACAGTAAAATCATATTCAGATTTAGACCTTTCTGCAGGTCCATACCAGTAGCCACGTCCGCGCGTTCTGGCGCCAGGTCGTCAATCTCCCATCACGAGCGATGCAGGGATGGGTTCTACTTCTACGTAGCCCTTAAGCATCGAAGTCGCAGGTGGGGAAGTATCGAGCGATGGAAGGCCCGTTTGGAAGAAAGACTGGACGAGAAGGCGAAGAATGTGATGTACGAGCACTCTGCGAATTTCCCATGGGAACAAAGAGGTTGCAAACCAAAAGGGAACCCGGAAAATCAATGAAGTGAGAAGGTATGCTGGTACAACACCTTGAGTGGCTGGCGACGCAGTCCAAAATCCATCCTCTGGATAGGAGGGAGCCTAAGATGCACCGGATAAGGCCCGTTTCATTAATGAAACTCTCTCGTAAGACTCGGAGCTTCTAAGTTTTTTAAAAAACGCCTCTCCCTCTCAGCCTTCATCAACATCAATCATCGATTCATCATTAATGAATCCCTCTGAGGCTCAGAGACTACTCTCCTCCCTATTCCCATGCATCCCATCCTCTGCTCGGAATTTTGTATTATTATCAAATAAAATGGATATATTTAAAATACAATACAATACAAAATGTAAATAAAATGTGGTGCAGGCGGGCGTGGCGAGACGTAAGTGTCGATAGCACCCATGAAGCCTCGTGTAGAGGGAAGCAATGATATTGGTGGCGGGGTGGTCATTGCATTGTTATGGGGGGTGACGTGAGCGGAAAAAGGCGGGCGTCGGGATAGGGAGCGGGCAGACGATGACGACGGCATCGAAGGGGTAAACGGAGCTCATATCCATGTTACCCTATCCAAATAATGGGGGATGCATGAGTTTGAGGTTGGTGGGTGAGCTGGGCGGCGCGCGGGAGGCCGATGTTGGATGGGATGCAGCAGGCGGCGGCAGGGGTATCCGGGATCGCGTAGCCATGAATGTGGGTTCGTTCACAACGCCTTCGAGCCCTCATTCGATGCCTTAAATGGCACGGTCGTCGTCAGTGTCGTTCACCGTCAGCATCCCGACTTTGCTCTCGCCCTCCTGCCTGTACCCTTTCGCCCTCCCAGCCCTCCCCAGCCCCCCCAACTTCCACACCATCCTTAATCTGCTATTTGGCATGGTCATGCACTATACTCTAGTCCTCCTACCCCTCACGCCATCACTGTTGTCGTCGTCCTGGTCATCGTGACGGTTGGTTGTGCATATATACACCCTCCTAGCGGCAGATGGAGGTAGATCTTGCGTTATCGAGTGAATGAGGCATCGTTAACGCATTCGGAAGCCGTAGTGAACAGCGATTGGCCCCGATTTCGATGTGGGGGATGCTAGGTGGGTCGCAACGGCAACAGGACGGGGTTTAATGGCAGTGGCAAGAATTGACGAGCACCGTAGTAAAAGGGTGATGGTGGTAGTGCAACTCTCCATCGTTTGGAGGGGGGAAATGATGCTGCCTTGCAGGAGGGCTTACGCGCAAGTGAGTGGGGCACGATGCACGATATCCAGGCCATCTGGGGCCACCAGATGGATGAAAAGTATCTATAAAACTTATGTTAGCATTGAAAGTAATGAAACATACCTTTATTCCATTCAAACAAGCAGCGGGGGCAGGCAGGCAACTACGCGATGGACCGATGGTGATGGTCAGACCAAAGGTCAGAAGAGAAAAGAAGGGGTACAGCCACTCGATCACTATACGGTTTACTGGACCGGAGCAATTGAGCGAGCGGAATGGATGCTCGGGATGCATCCTCTGCTCGACTTCATTGCTCCGAAGTCCTTTGAACTGATGGAATATACTATACTAGTGCTCTACTATACATTTATGTACTTTTTAGTATATTTAATGTATCACAACCTTGATTAATCTGCCTTTTGCAGTGAATATCACAAATTTCAGGACATTTCAAGGATGCATCCTTTGTACACAGATGTGTGCAACCTTTCCAAAGGTAAGATTGGTTTAATATGCAATAGTATATATTCCATTGTCCAAAACATGTGTCTGATCCATGGCGATCTGCCTGCATAGGCCTTGTAATCACTTTTCTCATCGAAGTGATTTCTTTGAGAATGGTATATGCACAGTTTCATCTGGTGCAATTTTGTCTGACTGAAGAATATTCTGGTCAGGGCAGGCATGCCTATTGACATATAACACTTTAAATAAGTACAGACTATGCTTTTCCGGGCAATATACTTCAATTTGAGCATGTACTGTGGGATATGTCTTTCACACATGCTTGTTGTATACTTTTCACATTATAATTCATGCCTATGTTGGCATAGGATAGAAAATATGTGCTGAGACGATGCCTAGAGCATTAAAAAAGACAACATACTCTCTACATTATATATCCAAGCACTGAGAAAGGTTTGGGACCATACAATCTTGACCTATTTGCTTACTGGGACCGAGTTAGGGGTGTTTTGAAAACTCCGGAAATCATCAAAATACTTTTTGACCTTAACTATCCATGCATTAAGAGATATAAACAAGATGGAATAATTATACATGACTGCCATTATCATATTACATTTTGAATAAGTGCAATGTACTATCTGCTATCCCAGAAAATTTGCCTGCTTTCCGAAATTCCAAAGCATATACCAAACTGAGAATGGTATATTCCCACAGTATGTTGCCGATGACTCAGCTTGAATCAGCTTAACAATGAAGTCGTTTTCGAGCCGTTTGCTCTGGGTGCATTGATATTAAAAACAGAAATTGATTTGATGTCTGCATTTAATCACTGGACATACTAGTAGTATTAGTTACAGTGTAGCTGCTAGTCCTGTCCTTCTATCATTAACAGCTTGAAATTGACTTTGGCATTAAGCCGATTCAAGCTGAGTCATCAGCAACACTATCCCACAGTAAGTACATCCTAGCCACACCAGCATTCAGTCAAATATACAGTAAGCATAGATGTAGAGTAGTACCAGCATGTGAAATAAGATTTTCTGACCTGCTCTGTTTTGGGGCCCCCCTGGCAATGAGCAAGAGGGCGGGAAATCCATTGCCACCCAAGCCGTTATCAAAACAGGAGCATTGAATATCATGTGAGTGAAAAATGATGTCAATAATTAATCATTGGCAATTGTGCCCAGTGCCGGGTGTTTTTGAGGGCTGGGACTGAGAGGCTTTTCTTAATAAAACTAATTCCTCTCGCTTAGAGGTTTTCATTGATAAAATGGTCCTCATGGGTTGTAAGATGAGGTTCATACACACCCTGCAAGGTCACATGATCAAATCATGACAAAAGGTGATGAAATCAGTATTTTGCTATATGATACTGTGTTAGCCACTAACTCTATCGACTTAGATCGTACTAGGATCGCTACTCGCACTTCGGTAGACGATACTCTAGCAAGTCAAAGGCGATGAAAGTCGATGGGACAGATAGTCACGAAGAACGGAGTTCGATGTTAGGTAGATTGAACCTTAGCCGAAGCTGGGGTTTAGACCAGCTGAGGCTCTACTTAAATACACGTTGCGTAAGCTAAAAATAGTAACGTGAGAATGTCCGATCAGAACCGCAGCATAGAGTAAGCATAAATGCGTAAGAAAAGGAAGAGAAAAGAAAAAAGAAAAGAATAACCGTAACATTACCCCCTCCTTAAGACTCATTCGTCCCGAATGAGAATATATCTTCATCCCTCCTCAAGAGCGAGACGAGGGGCTCCCTTCTGCTTTAAAACAGCTCTGCTTGGGCCTCCGCTATGCCTCAAAAAAGTCACTTCGTGCGTTCGGCCTCTGACCCGTACATTACCTGGACTCAGGTTCCTATAAATCCTGAGCCGCCTTGCGCCGGTTAGGCCTCGTCTGTCTGTCGGGATCCGCGATCCCTAAGGGTTCAATGCTCGTGAATGAGCGGTGGAAATCCCCTTCTACACCGTTGATATGTTTTTTTCTAATTTTCGCTCATTCCGGTCGATCCGCCGGAGTCCCATTCATCGTCCTCGCCGTCTGAAGATGAGTTCCTGGATTCGGAGTAAAACGAGGATGGATGATCATGATCATCGTTGTCATCATCTTTGTTTTTGTCCCAATTTTCAGCGACTCGTTGTAAGGTTTCGAGGTCGAGCTCGGAGTCCTCATCATCCGAGGTCGTCTCAACGACGGGTACCCCATCTGCCTCCTCTGCAGTAACTTCTTGAATTTCCGCGTACGACTGTGAGTCTGAGTGCCTTGGGT